TGGTTTTTCAACTTTCCAGACAAAAAAGACTTCATAAGCAGATTACAAGAATGTATTACCTTGAGCTATTAAAAGTTACAAGTTTTTCAGTTTCACCAATCAAGGTTCCTAACAAAAGCCAAACATCTTCCCTAAGAACACAGGAGGTTTTCTTCAAATTGCATTATGTAACACTGATGACTTGGCTTAAAACTTAATTCAACTAACGATTTTTTTTCTAATCCACATAAAAGTTTACTATGTTTACACAGCAATTCCCTCCATCTCATGATCCTGTATTATCAATATTTTTTTTAAAAAAGCAACCCCTCCCCAAACTCCCACAGGTTTCCCAAACCCTTAGTCCGCATTCAACTGGAAGTTTTACTGTTACAGATTAAAGGTCACAGACAAAATGCAAATTTTGTTTCTTGAAGAATATCTACAGGAATTAGTGCCCTTCTCCTTTTGTCTGTATATGCACAAAGTAGAAATGGGTCAAGGGAACTCCAACACAGATAACAAAGCAGATACAGTTATGAGCACTGATAGGCAACACCCAGACACAGAACACAGACATGGGTAAGGACTGCAGAGTTACCAACTGAAATCAGCACAGCAGGAAAAGCTGCTTTTGGCCAGAAGTTGTTTGAATGCAGTTTTAATAATTCAAGATGAAGTATAAAGATCAGGGTAAACTGAAAACTATTACACAAGAGGAACAGCCTCTATGACCTTCATAAACCAGGATAGGGCTGAGATACAATGCACAAGACATCCCCCCCATGCTCCTTAAGTGCTCAGTTAAGTCAGGCTCCAATAAATTATTTCATATTTTTCTTTTTTTTTCTTGATATGCCAAGACATGGTAAAGAAAAACTCTGCAGTTTAGTTAGCTTTGGCTAACTATCCGTAATTTCCTCTTTCAGGCACTTAAATGCTGAGCTGCCAGATAGTATGCATGTGAATGGTGTTACATGACCTGTACAGGCATTTCCAGGAAAAGCAAGACAGAAACTGAAGCCCACACTAATCAGATGGAAACAGAGGAATCCTGCTTCTATATCCTGGTGGTAAAGGTACAGTTGAAGCTGATGGTGAATCAAAGACTTAACCAACTAAAAGCCTGAAAAGTGAATATTTACGTGACCTTCACTGGGGAAAGTGAAAGAATGAAGCATGGAGCCCAAACTTTATTTAAGAGGTACTTCCCTTTAGATGTGAGGAGAGCAATGAAGAATGACCATATCCTGACATTCATGATGAATCCATCCTGTGACCATCATCCTGAAAAAAAGCCTTTCCCACTATGCATTTCCTAGCCTGTGAGAAGGGGATTTGGGTTGATCCCAACCACCAGAAAGCAAGCCAAGCTGTTCTTTCAAAGTGCTACCTCAAACAGTTTTTGAGAAGTACAAGTCCTTCCCTCCTATTTACAGAAAAGATCTCAAATTCATAATTGAGAACATTCCATGGCCAAGGCCAAGATTTTAAGGGCATGACAATAAAGCTGGAGCACACGTGTGTATGGCAGCAACAGACATGTCTGCAAAAGTTCAGAGACTTTGCTCCCATATGGATCAGATCTGAACTAGAAATGCTGAACCAAGCAGGAATGTTCTGCTGATTCTTGCCTACAAAGAAAGATACTCTTTAGGAGTTAAAAGTGTTTCCAGTCAATAACTTATCCACCAAGACCAAGACCTCAAAAGATCTTCAAGGACACAGAAAAACTGGATCCCAAGCACATGAAAAATAATTGTTTCACTTGAATCACTCCCCTTTGGAATTCTACCTACTACATTTTGCTAAAATACCTCTTTAGGTATTTTAGCAAAATGTATTCTCTTTAGGTAAGAGCATTTTCATATTTGTATTATTGACCTCTCCAGAAAAGAAAAATGGGAAGATGCCACCACTTTCACTGCGAAGACTGTTAGTGACTTTTCTTGCATTCTTACAGGCTCACACCTAGAATATATATTTTTTTAGAAACACACATTTAGGTTGAAAAATGCTGCACAGATGAGGTGACTCATTGCAGACCTAGAGTGGTGCATTGTTCCATCAAAATTCTTTACCTTGTGCTTATATAAGGCCTCCCACAGGCATCTGGAGTCACTGGAGATTGAGAGAAGGAAACGTGACAAAATGAAGAATATGGGCAGCAACCATTGTCTCCCTTTATGAACCTTTACATTTGTTGGACAATATCCAGCTGTCTCCTGTGTGCTACTGGTGGTGTCCAGTTCTTTTGGGAGCTGCAATCTTCACAGGGTTACCTAAAAACAACCTGAAAGATACTTAATGCAGATATTATGAAATTGTGGTATGTTAATGCTTGAACACAAAGCATTTTGGGGCTGCTCATACTTCAGGTTTATTTGAGCAACCCTGTTCCCTTGCAGTAAAGCACAGACTGCCCACAAAGCAACACTGACTCACTAGAGAAGGTCATGTTCTTCGTGTCTAGTGTGATTCCAAATGTCCCACATCTAAGAAAGACAAACTGACTCCATCCACCCATCCTCTTCATTTGTTCAGCTCAATTCTCCTGCTGCTCATGGTTTTCTCCTAGGCTGAGACTGGCAGACCTGCTGTGGGAGCTTGAACTAGAAACAACAGGATTCTTGATACTACCAAAATATCACTTCAAGTAAAGCAGTAGGATCGGGCAGCTAAAATGAAAACATGTTTGGAAGAGATTAAAAAAAAGGGAATTAAGTAAAAAAGGGTAAATTCAGGCCTTTTCTCACTATGAAGCAACATCTTTACCTTCCTATCACCTTTCACTTGATGGCACATACAGGTGATTTTGTAAATGAATTTCAGTAAAGTTCCTTAATCTTTCTTTGTTTTATTAACTGTGAAAAACCCTGCTAAAACCCTTCATAATCCCCATGCTGAAGAGACCATACCTCCTGACATAATTCTCCCCCAGATTACCAGGTAGCCAAAGGGACTGTATGCTTTACTACCTTACAGTTACTTGTAGAGGTTTTGTGCTGGGCACTGTGAATCCAAGCTATCAACTGCCTTACTGCAGTGAGAAAAGCAAGGCTTTTAAGACAAAGTTAATGTAACCACTAATGATTTCATATTAATGTAATCATCAATGATTTCACTGAAGTTTTAAACTCAGATATTAAAAATATACTAAAATAGCAAAACACATCTATATTTACTTTTGCTCTTTTACCTTCTCAATTCAACTCAAAAATTTGTCTTTGCAGAGGAATACACATTTATCTTCACTACTATGAACTTCAATGGATTATTTTCATACTTTCAGAAACTGAATAATAAAAAAAAAATCCAAAACAAAACCCAAGTTTCATCCTTCCTGTCTTCCTTTTAATTTAAAAATCTTAGGTATTCTTCCCAGATGAAGTAATTTATTTCTCTTTTTTATGAAATAATTTATTTCTCTTTTTTACCTTAGAAAGAGTGCCTTTCCCCATGTGTTTGTTGTGAAAGATTAAGCAGATGAGGGTTACTGGCTCCTTTGGGGTAAGAGGGGAGCTTTCCTTAAAAGCTTCCACAAACACTCAAACTCAAAACCTGTTAGCCATAATGAAATAGTTGCTCTTTCACATCTAATTCTTTTTACTATTATTAAAAGTAGGAAGTCTGATCTGTTCCAAATCTTGTTTAAAAATACAGTGCTAAGTAGGCATCTTCCTGAGTTTCAAATCAAAGTTGAACAGGTGCAAAATGTAAAAGCTTTTAAAATGTATCCTCTCCCACTTCATAGGAAGCAAACCTTTTACTTTAAGAGGAATATTTCACACATCAACAGTCTCAGACCTAAAATAATGCTCCTTTGCATTATTTCACTTCTAAAAGGTCAATATTCTTTAAAAAAAAATTGATAAAATAAATGGGTGGTTTGAAAAAGCATGAAGCACTGCAGTACTGAAAAGAGGAGTGGAGAACAGCCCTGAACAGATTTGGAATTGAAGGCCACATTCCATTCCCTGTACGTTGTGATCCAGGGTCTCTCCAGAGAGAACAAGTTCTCAGGCTGATACGTGCAAAGATTGAACTCTGCTGCCTCTTGCATATGAGATACCCACATTTCTGCACTTCTAGGTGGTCTGAACTTCATCATTCCTTGCCTTCCCTTCCCTCTGTGGTTTTTATTAGCAGATATTGAAACACCACTTGAAAACCTGTAAGGAAAAGTTGTGTCGCTCCAATAAAAACATACAAATAAATATTCACATATTTTACTGATCTAACACAAAACGTTCTCTAAAAAGAGAAGGAATCAAAATAGTGTCAGGTAACAGGATTACCTAAGGATGCATTAAATATCTTTTTCCACAAAATAATTAAGTTTCTTCATTAAAACCAGACATTATTTCAATTCTACAAAACAAGCCCGATAGATATGTTCTTTTACTTCCAACAGAAATTTAATTAGGACAGATAAAAGATTTTTGAGATATTTTGTTGCAACAATAGCAACCCATTTCAAGTAAAGAATTAAAATTAAGATTTTATTTGTGGTCATTTACATGACTCAAATACCAATTAAAAACTGATTAATCCTTAAGCTTCATAAATTCAGGTTTTTAAAATCTTTATTTTCTCCACTTACACCAATTTTAAGAAGTTTTGCTTAGAGGGTGTAATATATTTATACTGAAAATATTTTAATTTTTTTACTTCAATTTTTTTCTAAGAAGAGAAGGAAGGTGCCATTATTGTTTTGCTTGAGAAGCCAGTCCCTACCATTAGAAAAGACTTGGCATGGCCATTCACACGCACACTAAAGTGCTCAGGTGCAGTATCAAACAGACCAGTGAAGAATATACAAAACACCATTGTGTATAATACTGTGACAGTTTTTCAATATATTCACATACAGTAATCTCTGAGTACCTGAAAGGAAACTGGCCATAAATCCTAAAGAACCTTGTCTATAAAATTGAGTAACCTGTCAATATACTGTATCTCTTCTAAAAATACCCGTATTTTACAATAATATACAAGGTATCTGCTTGCAAACACAGAAGTAGCCATAAATAAAACTTTATTCTTTCTTTTCATTTACAAGCTACCAAGTACCATGTATTTACACAGCACTGGACACTTAAAGTAGTTGCAGTCACAAAATGATCCAGACAGCTGTTGATAAAGTAAAGGATCTTAAGATAAAAGCAAAGTAATACTGTAACAGATAAATGGCAAAAAAGCAGTTTTGCCATAATGATCAGACTTGCATGTTGCATCAATTCTGGTTGAAACGACTGAGCGCCATGCGATTCTCAGCTTTAATCGTTTGCAGTCTGGCTAAAGTTTGTACAGTCATTTCTCTTTTGCAGTTATTAAAATAAAAAAGTTAAAAACTATAGCAGCAACAAGCAAACCCTGTGACAGGAAGGCAAGGTTTAAGAACTAAAAAAGTTTATACAATGTGCTTAGGAAGGTCTGCAGAATTTATCTTCCATCGGCTGGAGTTCGACTGAGTGACAACATGATTCGGGCGTATCTTTCACACAGTTCATGTGTGGAGTAGGAGGGTAACTTTGGCGGGTCATTGAAACCTTTAATCTCTGTAGAACAATCTAGCAGTTTTGGCAGGAAATCTGTCAGTTTTTCTTGCAAGCTGGCTGCAAATCAAACCAGAAAAACAAACATAAGCATTTATGTTCACATGTAGAATTGTCCTTTTTCTGCCCAATGTTGACTTTTTTTTAAATTAGTGGGTAGAAGAGGAGGAGTTTCACTTGGAATAATTCAGATTCTTTAGACCAACCAAGCAATAACTAGGACATACCAATTCCTAGTAAGATGTTGATATAAACTCCCCTTTAGGTAGTCTAATAACACTACAAGTGTTTTCCCATTCAAAAAGCATGTTTCCTTTACAGCCTGATAGCCCAGTGCAACTTAAGGCAAAATCTTTTATTTAAATGTCTACAGAATTATTCAAAAGTCAGGGCAGCTCAAAAAACATTACCAAGGCAAAAAAAGATACGGGTTTAATTCCAGATATTGAAAACATCATACTCATAAAAAAGGTGCACAAGGGCCTTTTACCTTAATAATAAATGACTTACGTTCCATTTCTTGTCCAAGATAAGAACACCAACGGTTCCTCATATCTTCCACAGCAACAATATCTTTCTCTTCCATTTCATCCACCAGTAGTAATGGCAAACACGGGACAATAAGCTCGTTCATTATGATCAGGCCATTATTTACTTCCTGATCGTCTCCCGATTCAAACAGTGCTGCAGCATGTTCATTTAGTTTCTTCATCAACCACCACAAAAAAGGAAAGCCTTTAAGTACACAGCATTTCACACTCTACCATGCATCATTATCAGTTTCTTTTAAAGCACAGTCTTCCTACAGAATTACCTGGCAGCTTGTATTAACCACAGCTGTATTTTAACATTTACTCCATGATGCATATGCTGTACTAATCCACTTGAACTTATGCTGTTCCTCAAGCCACTTCATTTCATACCTGCCAACTCCAATTTTGCAGCTGTTTTGTTAAGGCTGAGATTCTATCACTGGCTTTTATTTTTTCACTATTGTTAAAAGTGACATAACAAGGAAAAAATCCCTTGTTTCAGGCAAGGCATCATTGCTGATGCCTTTGCCAATATTTGTCTCCCCATCAAACCATGGCAGCAGGCTGAGTCTGCTCACCAGCACTGTCAATCACTACTCCCACCCATCCCAGACATGACTGCAGTGAGCCCACTATAATCATAAAGAAAATGATTGGCTGCTCGCAAAAAATGGGGGAATAACCTTTTCTTTTTTACTTTTGCATTTTTCCCTCTTACAGCCTCACTATTAAATTACTAATGCAGGGAAGTTTGAGGTTTGTTGTACATGATGGCAATACTTTTCTATTAATTAATTTTATTAGAACTATGCAGCAAACTCAACGTTTTGAGACATCCAGTTCACCCTTCACTTACTAGCAAACACTCTCGTCTGTAGTGAGATATCAGCTCCTCGTCGTGCCCTCTGTAGGGGCCTTTGGACAAGAGTTCTTTGTTATTCTGGTAAGCATAGATAAGGTAGAGCAAGGCTTCCATGTAACTGTAGTGAAGAAACAAAAGCATTAGGTGCAATATCCACATACCACCTGCCTCAAGGTAACTATTCCAAGGACAGATAACTCCACTTGCTGGATGGCAAGTCCACCCCTTCCCACCAATCTCTTCATAATTTTTTTTTAAACCATACAATTTTGTCTTTTACACACACTAGAACAAATTATTTTATTATTAGGTTAGATCATTACAAACGATGTCTGATCCAAAGCTCACTGAAACCAAGAGTTGTCATTTCACTCACTTCAAAAACAACTTTAGATTGGCCTTGAGTATCCATGAAAATTTAATTTTTCCTGACTGCATTTATGTCACATTGGGTTTGAGTTTCCATTGCCATGAATATCTTGATAGCATTCTACACCTCAGCAAATAAGATTTAAAGTTGTCGCCTTATTTCTAAAACAACAACTGTGAATTTTTAAGCTTCACTAATTGAAAGTTCTTCTGAGTTACTTGAAATCTAATGTGATGGAAGAAGCCATCACAGAATTTCAGCAGCAGAAGTGCTGTCAGACTGTTGATATTTCTGTCTTTAATCTGAATGCAGAAGATAAATGCAAGGCTAATTGGTAGAGAAGGAATAAGAGAGCACCCAAGAACCTGTCAGTTAGTAATTGACAGAGATCCCTTCGTGCACAGATGAACAATCTCCCTTCATACTGCTGCACATCATCTCCTGCAAACACCTGAAATGGTTAATTCTCTGATTTAAAAAGACCCAGTTATGACAGACAAGCACTGAAAGCAGTTCCGGTAGCTACCCTAAAAACAGGCAATTTGATATCTCATTTTTACTCAAATAATAAAAAAAAATCTAGGAAGAGAAATTTCCTAGGGGAATGGTTAAAGGAACATGAAATCGTGCACTCCTTCCTGATGAGAGTATGAGCTCATGTGTCAAGCTGAAAGTACCAAAACCAACTACCAAGCTACTGAAAAAGGCTAAAAATTATGTGTACACACAGAGCATATCTGAATACAAGTCAAGAATTTTCCAAAGTAAATAACTCAGGATGTAAGGTAATACCTCCCAATGAGACAACATAAAAATAAGGGGAAAGGCTACTTCCATTTTTCCTAGCCATGAAAACTCTTCATACCACTGGTCACGAAGATGAAGATGATGGAAGAAAAGATGATTACAAGAACTGAAACTGCTGGTTATAAACCCAGAAGGGGTGGACCTTCTCCTGTTCTTAGTTCAGTTATTTGTGAAACTGCAGGCTGAAGCTGCAGTGTCAATAGCTCTGTTGATGCAAATTAAAACTCAGTGGTGGTAGTTATTTCCAGTCACCCTCTTTTTGCTCCTTCCCTCACCTATGTGTGACCCTTTACTGAAACAACTGTGGTGCCATTTAACACCAAAGTAAGCTATTTTAGATTATCATGACTGTAAATCCAACCTCAGACTCCTTATTTATCTTGGGTCTGAGGAATGGGGCTACAGTAATATCAGCAAACAGATCCATAGAATCATAGGGTGGCCTGGGTTGAAGGCCATGGGCTGTTGCTATGATATTTTCTGAAAAATCCTTTCCTGGGGATTTTTTCTCCTGAGAAGCTGAGAGACCTCAGGAACATAATGTAAACAATAATTGTCTGCTGCTGTGGAATGCAACAGGTGCATCTGGGATTGGTCTCATGTGGTTGTTTCTAATTAATGGCCAATCACAGTCAGCTGGCTCGGACTCTTTGTCTGAGCCACAAGCCTTTGTTATTCATTCTTTCTTTTTCTATTCTTAGCTAGCCTTCTGATGAAATCCTTTCTTTTATTCTTTTGGTATAGTTTTAATATAATATATATCATAAAATAATAAATCAAGCCTTCTGAAACATGGAGTCAGACCCTCATCTCTTCCCTCAACCTGAGACCCCTGTGAACACCATCACAATGGGCAGGGGGACACCTTCCACTAGACTAGGCTGCACAAATCCCCATCCAACCTAGCTTGAAGGTTTCCAGGGATGGGGCAGCCACAGCTTCTCCAGGCATCCTGTTGCAGTGCCTCACCCCCCTGAGTGTAAGGAATTTCTTTCTGATAATTAATCCAGACCTCCTCTCTGTCAGTTTTGAAGCCATTCCCCCTTGTCCTGTCACTCCATGCTTCTGCAAAAGGTCTCTCCTTCATCTTTCTTGTAGGCTCCTTTCAGATACTCAAAGGTTGCTTTCAGGTTTCCATGCAACCCTTCTCTTCCTTCAGGCTGGACAGCCCCAACATTCTCATCCTGTCTTGACTGGGCAGATGCTCCATCCCTCTGATCCCCTTGGTGCCTGCTCTGGCCTGGCTCCAGCAGGTCCCTGTCCTTGCTGTGCTGGAGCCCAGAGCTGATGCAGCCCTGCAGGTGGGGTCTCAGCAGAGGGGGCAGAGGGGCAGAATCCCCTCCCTGCCCTGCTGCCCACGGGGCTCTGGATGAGCCCAGCACATGATTGGCTTTCTGCCTTCTCACAGCTGAACTGCACATAAGTTCAAGTGTGTGCAGATTAAACCTAAAATCACTGAAGCTGCTCACAAAATTCTGGAGCTCAGTAGGCTGAGGCATTGGAAGACACAGAAAGCACAGAATGGCAAAATTTTAGCACTGCTTTGAAAAAGGCATTTCAGTCAAAACTGAAAAGCTGTACTGGCTTTCCAAGAAACTTAAAAAGGCAATTGGTAATGCATACAGTTTGTTCAATTTTAAGTTGCTGCCACAAGAGTGAGCTGCAGGCAAAATTCCTACCAAGGCTCATTAGCTGCCTGGGTTCATCTCAGCCAGAGTAGGTTACTACTCCACACTGAAGTCAGAGAAGATCTGCCTGAAAGACCCCTTAATTCTCCACCTGCAGTGAAAAGTGGGCCTTGTCACTCACCATCAGGGATGACAAGTGACCACTGAAAGTAGGCATGAAAAAGTTATACCAAACTAATCTTAATTTCTGTGCTTGTTCAACACATTACAATTAAAGAAATAAATACTGCTTGAATAAATGTTGACTTTTGGCTCCATCAAGACATTGAGTGCTGCTAGGTTATCACTCAGTGTTACTGAAGCTAAGAAAAGTTTGTCAACAGAGAGGTGGGTTTGCAGGGAAAAAAAAGCCTCAAAACTAATGAAGATCATATTTCTATTATGAAAGCCTATCCTTTCATGAATATTTTTGAAGTTATGATTTTATGACTTCAGTGTTGAATGAACTGACAGGGATCAGCAGTTTAGTCTTGTTTCCAGCATAAGGATGGTACTGTTGCTCTCTTAAGTGGGAATCTCTGTAAATCTCTGAAACCTTTGGGAATCTGAAGCTGAAACACAGGTATATATTTGCACAAGATGCCTTTGGAGCAGGTCACTGGATAGCCAGATCTCACTCATCCACTAACCATACTTTAGTCCTACTATCTTTGTATCAGAAACTTCATGAAGCACTTCTGAAATTGTACCTTTTATTTCTGACCCATATTAGAGTGTAAGTATTATCACATTGGTGATAATAGGCTTGTTTTTGAAATTATGAAGGTGCTTTCTAACAAAAGAAAACCTAATTCTGCAAGTTATTGTAAATAGTGGAGAACGTCATTTAGCACATAGTACAAACCTGTGCTTCCCTCTCTCCTCCATGGCACAACCAGATTATGTTATGGCAAGAAGGAATTTATTGAAAACATTGGTATTTTATAACTGAAGGTGCCACTCTGGAGTCCCAGTGCCAAAGAACTTGAAGATGTGTCACCCCACCTGTAATCTTAAAGAATGCATGAAGGGGTTCCTATAAGCCACACCAATGCCTGTGACATTTCTGCCTCTTTAAGGAATGAAGCAACACCAGACTTCAAATAAGCCAGGTAATCTTCTGACTAACCTTTGTACACAAACTGTTTAAGACCAATAGTGCAGCATATTTCAATTCAGATTATTAGTAAATGTACTGTTTATTACATGGTGGTAACCTGAAGACAACCCAAGACTCTGGGCTCATGGTGTTAGCCAGTATAAAAAGAGGTATCGTGTCACAAAGGCAAGGCTGTGTCTTTTGCAATCAATTTTCCTGTATTGTTTGGGGCCTTTCTTTTTTGGGAAGACATAGGATGAGAAATATAGAGCAATTTACTACTTAACAAAGAAACAAAGAATTAAATTTGACTCCCACTACAAATTTACCTACATGTTGTTTTATACACGAACAGTGACTGACTACATTTAGACTGTAATCACCATTCTTCTTGCATGTGTAGATCAGAATAAATATGAGCTGTTCTGAATTAAGTACATAAATGTCACCCATTCTATACAGCCACAATTTCTGACTTGGTTCAAAAAGAGAAGGGAATGAATCACCATAGAGTTAAGGACAATCAGCTACAACTATGACAGCTATACATGACAGCTTTTCTCAAATATGTTCTATTTTCCTGACCTTTAAAGGCCACCATAGGTGGAGTTTTGGCTCAGACTAATGCAGAAGGTACAACTGTTTCAGTGGGAAGTTCCAGCCAAAAAGCAGCAAAGACACAGACTTGACTAATTGTGCCTGCTGATGAAAGCAAATAAATGTATGTGCACAGAGTGACATCCAGAGCACTTAAGAATAGAAGGAAGAATAGGGGTGCATGTGGAGGGTGCTCTGAAAAGAACCCATGGCTTGTATAAGAAATTGGAAATGGAAATTAAACACATCTTAATTTAGAAAGCAGCTTTACTTATCAACATTACATTTTGCTTTCACATCGTTCCACTACATTTGAGTTCTATACTACCACTTACCTCTTTTTTTGGAAAAACTCCAATCCTACCATGAGAAATATGGTTGTTTCCCTGAAATGTCTGTAGTCTTGATGCCATCTCTGCATGTAAGAAAGGGTAAATAGACATTCATCCACAAAAATGAAATATAATTATTTTTAAACACAACCCCCCCTCCAGTTAAATTTAGTGTCCAGTCACAGTAAGTACTAAGGATGCCAGTAGGCTTGCATATGAGGGCAGTCCACCAGAATCCACCCTTCCCTCAATAAAAAGAAAATTCTTAAACGTCTTAAACATTTCTAGATGAGATTATTCTTACAGAACCTATTACCATTTGAAAGGAACACAAAGTATCTTTGGAGAACCACAGGTAAAATTATACAAGATCTTGTTTTTTCTTCCCTATATTACTCAGGAAGTGTTGGAAAGCTTTTTCATACACCAGATAGTAAGCTTAATTTTCAATACAAGAATGACATAGAAAAAGCCTGAACATTTTACATGGGAAGTGTTAAAAATACCCAAATGCAACTCTGATGAAATGCTCTTGCTGAAGCAGAACAATTATCTTACTGCATCACCATTTACACCAAGTGACTCCTGGTTCACTTTACAGGTAAATGCTCCAGGTGAGAAAGGCACTTTCTCTACAGAGGGTTAAGTGCTGACCTTCAATTGTGCATTAAAGATAAAATAGGGGACAGCACACTGTAAGACACAGCTACTAGCAGATTCAACAGAAAGAGCTTGAGAAGACATCGATAAAATGCCAGCTCACTATACTGGACTGACACAATCTATGGTGAAACCCCCAACTACCTATTGCAGGAGCTAAAAAAGGGGCACCCTTCTGCAGAGGAACAGATGATATCCCCACTCCCCACTCCTCTTAAGAGTCAAGTCCAGAATTGTTTGTTCTCTCTGTGCAGCATTATTCAGAGAATGGTAAAACGCTGAGCACTGCACAGCCAAGAAAATGCAATTAAAATGCCACTCTGAGGGTCCCTCCCTATCAGACTAGGGAGGCACACTGTAATACAGTAGTATCTACTGTAGGTCCTAAACCTGGTAATGAGAAGTGGAAGATTTGTGAGGGGAAGATTGCTTCCATTACCCTCCTGATCAAGTTGTTTGGACCTACCAACACAACAAGGAGGTATGGGTGGTGCACTGGAATCTGCCCAGGACATAAATACCCACTGTTAAGAGGTCTTAATGAACAGTATTACTCAGACTTGAAACTGATGCTGGAAAATCAGCTACAGGCTTATCTTTAAATGTGAGATGAATTATTTAAGCAACTATTAGTCATGATTATTTAATGTCCAATATTCACTCTCACTTTCCCTCCAAGTTTTTCTAAACAACACAGGAGGAAAAATTAAATGCATACGCTGGTTATGCATGGTCTCAGCAAAGAAAAGAATCTGCTGCTCATAAGAAAATGGGAATAGCTGCAGAGATAGCTGGAGGAGAAGCACAAATAGGACTGTGCCTGCTATGCAACTCTCAAGATGAGCAAGGCTGGGCACAGACCACTCTCCTCCTTCCTTGCCAGCTGCCTAGAAAAAGCCATGTGGCTCATGTGGTGATAAATTACAAAATATTGTTAGTGACGTCAAGACACGATAACAAAGTAAGGACAGATTCCAACCTGACATTTATTAATGGCTCAAACACTGGAATTACAGATGTGGAAAAAACAGCTTTAGCTCAAGAGCAGCCTTTAGACGAATAAGGGCTTTAAATAAATAGCCAGTTTTAACTTCTCAGTCTGAGACAAGAAGAAATTTGTAAAGGCAAAATTCAGCTTTACTGATAACTATTTCACGCTACAACTTAATTTAAAGCATAAGAAATACTGACCTCATATTCCTCCATGTTTACTTCATCTGGCTTTATCATTTCAAGTTTGGCTTGAGCAACCTTCATTATGTTACGGCACCTTACGAAAAGCAAAAAAAAAGTCGTTAAATATTACTGGAAATTCACAGAGGGTATTATCCTTACAAAGACAGGAGCCTCAAACAGTATGAGTTACAGCCTTATGCAAACCAGTATGAAAATGCCTTGGAAAATGTACATTTTATTATGCATGGTATAATCAGCAGGAGAAGGCACACTTTTGAAGTATGTGTGATGGAGGCCTGTGCTATTTAAAGGATTACTTCTTTTATTTTGCTAAATTGCCACATTGCTCAGTCTTTCTTTTAATTTTAAATTTCAGATAGTTTGAAACTCCCTGACAACTACTTTGCAGAAGTTTAGAAGATTATTCCCTACACAGAAATCAGACTGTTTTCTAACTTTTAATTTATCTATTTATATAAGTAAGTAGATGAAATTTTGAGTGGAAGAGAGACATAGCCTTGCTCTCGAGTCAGTCACTCACCCAGTTGGAAAGGCTTTGTTCTCTACTACTGCCTTTCAGGGCAGTGAGAAAACACAGTGAAAGAAAGTACAAAAAACTATGTGCAAGATTATGAACAACCTTGAGCATTTCTACTTAATTTAGGTGAGTAGAAACTCAACTTCTTGATTAGTCTTTTAACAGGGATTTTTATAAAGATGATTTGTTTTACAACGTAAGCGCGCATGCTGTTAACTAGGAGATAAAGCCAAACACACCAGCCAAATATGAAGGGGTGTTTCCACACATCAGAGAACATTCATGAACACAGGAAATGAGATGTGCAGATCTTATTACCTTTCATCAAAGCTGAGATTGTGATCTCCAAACTGCTCCAGCAATGTCCTCTCAATTATCTTCTTTGGTGCCTGGTTTTGGATGAAGTAAACAATTGCATGACGCAAACGATAATCACATTCAGGTGGCGGATCTTCCTGGGCTAATTTTAGCAGACGTGTGTATTCCAACTTAATTGCCTACATAATTTTAAGAAAATAGACATTATTCCTTCTGGCTTTCAACTCAGACATCACAGACACAAGATACTTTATGTGCCACAGCATTTTGCCTATAAACATTTTTAATAGTTTCACAGATCACCCTTCTAAGAAGTCTAAACTATGTTTTTGAAAAGAAAAAAGAACCAAAACCACAGATAAATTGTCAAATTGGTATTTTCTCTCAGCAGTTAAGCCTGACAAAATCCCAATTTAACCTGCCCTTCAAAAGTATTTCCAATCCTGTCGCTATGTCTCCCTGAGAGGAGAGTTATACAATCCTTAGAGAGGTTTCTTTAAGCCCAAGACAAGTGTAAGATTTCAGGCACTTGACCTTGAGAAATTTTCTGAAGTCTCATAAGGTAAAAAAGTACCTCAAATATATGGTTAAATGCAAAGACATGAAAAAATACACCCTCCAAGAAGTTTAGTGAACGTGTATGATTCGGAAAATACTAAGTGGGAATGAAATATATCCTTCAATAAAAAATAATTGATAGGATTTCTGAAGAAAATAATAATTCCATATGAACAGTACTGCACTATAGGGCAGGACACAGCCCTCCCTGAATATTTTAGAGGTCATCAGAATCATTTACTTTTCCAGCTTTGCCAGCACATTAGGTTTTAATGAACATCATTTCATATGTTCATTAGATTTTATTCACTGACACTATACAGCATGAACAGGAGCAACAAGAAAAAGAATTAGAAAAATGGTGACAAATGTTAACACACATTCCATAAATTCCCTCTGATAACAGGGAGGTTATCAGATGGTTTCCTAACACATTTGCAAAGTTTCAATACAACGTATGCATGAAATAAAGCATCAAAGCACTCACAAAAAAAAAAAAAATTAAAACCCTGCTTGGTATTTCAAGTGTCTTTATGCTGTAATACCAGAAATCTGGGCTTCCATCCTCTGCTAATAACACATTTTGTTTCAGGACTAAACATGTAGAGTAATAATCATCCAGGTGTAAACATAGAGCACATGGAGACCTTTAAAACTTAGGAGAATATTGTGCATCAGTATCATTTAAATACTCATGATTTGCATTACCATTAAAAAGGATGTTTAGGACAACATTATAAATGCCAAAAGCCACACAGGTTCGATTATCTTACATCAGAAGTTCCACTATTAGAAAGTCAACGTGGCTAACAATTAAACCTTGTTTATTGAGGAAGCAAAAATAAACTGCTTTAGACATTTAATTTTTCATATAATTATTTAGAAGTAGGAAAAATGCAACACAAACTCTATATTTTTATAATAATTTTAAAATAATGTGGTATTCTACAGATTCAGAAATCTTTACCAAAATGAAAAAAACCCACTACACAAAAAAAGGGACAGTAAGAAAAGTATGATATGCTTCCATTTTCTCACTAAGGATAACAAAGATCTTAAAGGAAACACTCTGCAAGGAGTTGTCTATAAAAGTTAAAGAACCTTTATATATTGGAAGAGATGACTGACCAAGAAATATCTGAATGTTAGTCATGTCTTAAACCTGAGGTCTAGGGGGGGAGTGGAGCCTTGGCTGTCACAATGACCCACACCACTAGAGTTTCACCTGAGTAACATTAAATGAAGATATAGAACCCCCCCAGTTTTTTGGAAACACTAATTTCATCAAGAACAAACACATAAAGGAACACAGTAACAGTAATAAAAGACATAGAAGCTTTTAAAGTAAGTTACAGGAAAAAGTGAGATTTCATCTGGATGTGTCCCAAACCAAAACTTTTGCTCCCAAAACAACCCCACTTGATCTGCATCCATTCATACTAATGTATTCCTTCAAAATGAACCATATTTCACCTCTTCTGAGCTACTACAAACACGATCAGCAGAAAATGAGTAAGGAAATTTTCTACTGTATGTCAAAACATTTTCTCACTCAAACACATTCTGCCCCCATGAAGCCTAAATGTTCAAGGACTCAAAATTAAAGACTGAAAATCATTTCAACTGGGCATTGTTTTGATAACTCTAAAGCATTAAATAGAATTTTATTTTGAAGTAATTTTCCGTTTTAAAATTATCAAAACATCCTTCAAATTAAAAAAATATAATTAGATATAATTGACATTTCTGGTTCAAATCAAGGAGTGATTTGATCAAATGAGGATTTTTTCTTTAACTTGAAAAACACTTTACATATTTTCATTAATAAATTTGAGAAAAAAAAAAGCAACCAACACTGAATCCCAAGCAAACCCAGTTTCACTGAACAGAGGCTGTGGCAGATGTCTCTCCCCTCCCTGAGATCAGGCACAGTTAACAGAGACCGCCCTGCACACACATTATGCTTATAACCCTTCTTTAAGTATCCATATCAAACACCCACACAGACAAACCAAGCAACCAATCCATGAGGTTTCAATTTCCTTACCAAGGAGTTACAGAGCTTTTTGTTGGTGATGTTAGGGTTTTTTGTTTGTTTGCTGCTTGTTTGGGGGCTTTGTGGCTTTTAGAATTTCTTCCAGTGGAAGTACACCATAACAATTAAGAAGAAAACAGACTGCTACTCAGTGACAAGCAAGAAACTTTTTTCTCCTCTCCAAATCACATTTGAGAGGATTTTACACTTTACATCATGTCAAAGCAACTCCCTTTTTAATACCCTGAAAATTCGAAAGGCCATGAGCTAAAGGTGCTCAGAAGTTTGTGTATTTAAGAAAATGAACACATTCCTAAATCTGGTGGCACAGTGAAGACTAATCACTTTACATAAAAAGCCTAATGTCTAATTCCCATAATAAACCACTGCTTAAATAAATAGTATTGACACCCATGCAGTTACACAAAAGCAAGCAATTTGGAATTATTAAAAATCTTTTCAGGAGTACAAACCAAAAATATCTCTTTGAAAAAACAACAAATTACTAAAAGTCCCTGGGCAAAAAAAATCCTTACGTCCCACAGTCTAGCAAAGACATGGGTTTTATTACTAACAGGAGAAAAAACTCATATACTTTTATCAATTACACATCTAGGTTTCATATCACTAATATGTTACTCACTACTATTACTAAAAAGCTGAAATGCAGAAAGGTATATGAGCTGCTGATATCAACAGGGCAAATATCTGTATATTTTTCAAGGGGTAAGCATCTAAATGAGGGACTGATATAGACAAGCTGGAGAAGACTTTATATACAGAAAGGGGTAGAGGGAGTAGCATATCTAACAAGTCAGAGGAGAAAAAGTTGAAAATGTTAGTTGTACCTTAAAGAACCCTGCTTCTGGCCCACACCTGTCATAAACATTCCTGGCTTTACCTATAGCCATGATAATACCTTGCATGTTCGGGGTCAGCATGACCTGCCACAAGGGATTTAAGGTAAAAGTTTTGAATGATTAATATTTTAATGACTAAATTCAATATGCCTTTAGCCTCATGCAAAATGAAAAAGCAACTTAATGCATGCATACATTGATATGGCACACTTCAATACAGATCTGGTGAGCATAATCTGCAAATCAAATCATGGCATGTGTATATATAGTTTTACTGTAACAACATTAAAGGAATCTTACAAAAAAGAAAAAAAATCTGTGTCAAAAAAGTCACATGGACCAAACTTCCCAGGAAAGGAGCATGCACAGTTCAGCATTAGTACCAAGCAAAAACTGCACACTGAATGAGTGCTACCCATGGCCATGAAAGGATTAAAAAAAAGGTTTTAAGTAGAAAAATCATCCAGTCACACTTGAGATATACTGCACTAAAGCCACCTGTGTTTTATGCATATTTCAAGGTCAAAAAGAGAAACTCACTGCTGCAAATGCAATCAATCCCTGAAACATTTGCAGACAATCTCTTAAACATCATACCCAAAACAATTAACAAACACCAAGCCAAACACAGGACATCTCTCACTGCTATTCACATCAGTTACACACAATATGATACATCCAAGCTACTCAGAAAAGCCTTTCTCCTTTTTAATCTGTAAGCAAAGGAAAACACTCCCTCCCTGCCCAAGGTATTGCTGGTACAGCAAGAAATGATGAAGGATCTTAAACTCCCTGCGAGTCTCCCACACATAAAAACATTTCTAAAAAGTGAATACACTCACAAAACGAATAGGGATATAGGCAAGAAAGTTATCTACTAGAAAGACAAGGGCATGGGGACAAAAGTAAAAACAAACAAGCAGGTCATTATATGAGGTTAAATCTGCATTTCTTTCAAGATGGAGACTACACATCTGTGAGAAGCTAAATTCAATCTGATGATGTCAATTAAACCATTTTATTCCCCACCCCATCCTCCCGGTTATAACTGATCACACTTCCAGGGCAGAATGACCTGAAACATCCATTTGCCTAGGGAAGCTAAAGCTCCCCAAGAACCCATGTTCAGAGCCCTGACAATATGGGCTGCACCAACTCTATTCCCACCCAAAACAAACATGGAGTAAGCAGTGACAAGGCAGGGCAGTTTGATGACCAGCAGTGTTGCTTTCTACTGCTGAAACTGGGCAGCAAAAAACAATGCTCCTCAGAAAAACAACATGCCCCATAATTATTCCTCAAGTAGTAGCAAGTACATGTACCAGCATGAGTCTGAATTTTTTTTAAGATTTGCAAGATTCAGTTCTACCAACTATATCAATTTCAGCTTATTTCCATGGCTAATTAAATCTCCAAAGCCTGAAAAGCTTAACCTTGGCAAATAAGAGATCAGACTTTACTGGACTGACAAGAAAGCACAAACATTAAAAACATTTCTCAGTGTCCTGTCCCCTTTTAAATAATGCAACAGTGGGCAGTCTTATCACCAGCATTTTGAAGGCTACCTGGCCTAACACAAACATTCACTCTCCAAAGCTGAAGAGACAGATACCCCTCCAGTGTAAAAGGCAGCATGCAAACCGTGCCCAAGTAAGAGTCTGTAGTGCTTTCCTTCCGTATTTCACGACAAACTAGGACATTGTTAAAGATCACAAATGGCTAAGCATTTAGTTTTGCAGAAGTCTGTTAGGTGTCACAGTGTGCAGACATGCCAAAACTTCTCATCAGGCAGCACGAGGAAGCCCCGGGGAGGAGCAGTGCACACGAGGTACCTCATCGTCATAACCCCCCTCCTCTGACTCAATCACAAACGTCCCCACATCGGGGATCGCCACCTCCACCACTCGCTGGGTGGGAGCTGCTTGAGCTGGGGCATTATCAGAGCTCTGCAGAAGAAAACCATTATCAGTACATGCTTGGGGGGAAAAAAAAGAATCATCATAATAGGTATCAGAAAATACAATAAAACTGTGGAGAGATGCAAACTGATCTAGTTTGCAAACTGAGATGCAGGCTGATCTAGTACAATGATGTCCACTGCTGAAATTCTGAAAAAATTCAGAAGCTGTATCTAGTTAGAGAATATAAGTGATATTTATAATTTTTTAAGCAGTACATTTGAAAATTAAGCCATAATTACTACAGTTATTTCATTTGTTCTTTATTCACTAATTCTATCTTTACAGGTTAGTATACCAGTATTGCAACTCTAATATCCATTACAAATTTAAGTCACTTGGCAAAGGATGAGTCAGTGAACCACAATTTTTTGTACATTTCACCCCAAAATTACTAAGTATATTATAAAATATCAGAATAGTTTAGGAAGGGACCTCAAAGATCATCTAGTCTTAAAGATGCCCCCCACTAGATCAGGTTGCTCAGGTACCCATCCAGTCTGGCCTTGAAGAAGGCCAGGTCAGATACTTCATATCTGAAACACCTGATGAAGCCACACTAAAGGAGAAAAACAAACTGAAAGCTAACATTTCCCAATGCTCTGGGAGAGAAAAAAAATACCAAAAAAAGCCTTTTAAAGAACATTAAAAGGAGCATTACATTTAACTGGATTATTTTTTAGAAGAGTAATTAAATAGAAAATAGGGAGAAGACTATCATAGTTAGTAAAATTCTTGATATGTTAAACTAAGTTTTTAACAGCAACAGTGACAAATATTGGCTCCTATGGTCTATCACTGAATAATAGGCAGTTTGTAACATTTGCAGAACTTGAACCTTGACTCTAATCCAAGCAATGGCCAAGTGCTATGCTACTTGTTCTGCAACTGTAACAATAACTTCACTTTTTAACCAAGATTCCAAAAACACAGTATCTATTTACACCCAACACTGTATAAATACAAAGGAGGGCTATGCAATCAGAAGGCAGAAAAAATGGACAAAAGGCACAAAATGGAAAAAATCAACATGTGGTGAGTAACCTACAATCCTGTCACATGTGCTGATGCTGGCTTTCCTTCTTTCCTAAATGGACAAACAAAAAGGGAAGTAATGGAATATATGCCTGCATGTCTGAATGCATATGGAAGCAGAATAATTAAAAAGCATGACGATACACAAAGAATGAAGCACAATTCTGCATAAGTGAAATTTGGGGATACAGAGAACAGCTTTTAAATGTTACCAGAGTACCTTCAGATTAACTGGAAATTGAACTACATTTGTTTCTAAATAATGTTTGCATGGTTTGTTTTTTTTCTTTTTTCTCATTAAACAGATCATGGTGTCCCCAACCACAGTCATGTGAAGTCTTAAGGCTGACCATTGTGTCAAGTGCCATTATCCTGAACTACAACACTTGATGCATTGAAAAAAGGCTAAGATTCTTTCTCATCTCACTAGGATGATGTCACAAACCCTGGAAGGAGGACAGCCTTATGAAAGACATTTTATCATGTATTATGGTCTCCTCACAGCATCTTTTCAGCTGGAGTAACATGTATTAAACAGGTTCCCACTAAGCTGTTCTGAGAACTCAAAAAAGGCCAATATGCAGCAGCCTAAGGCTTTAGTGACAGAGCATCTTCTCATCCAGAGTTAGGTGAGTTTCCCTGTTAGCTTCAATTTCAGTTTAGCAGAGGAAGTGTGCTTCCCTGCCTTCCTGACACTACAGGAGGGGTGGAAAACACAGCAGGTCAAGAGGGTGCCAACAAGCTGTCACATAATTTTCAAAGATTGTAAGGTATCTGGGGCCGGACTGCTTCTGTTTAATGAGGATTCACACCTGATCTTAGGAAACATTTTGCACAGATCTAAACTGTTCATATCCATAGTGGTTACTAGGGATGCCTAAGGAAGCCATACTGTACTTTTATGGATACAATTCCAAGACAGATCCATATATTGTTTTAATGACACAAAGTTTTGTGGAAAACACATTTGTCATTTATCTACATACTTATAGGGAAGGAAAAAAATATTTATTGAAAGAAGAAAGTGTCAAATATTAGTTTCATTAATAACACATAAAATAGTTAATGCCCCATTCCTCTTTCACTTTGTACAAACTGAAAACAGAAACACCCAGCACTGATTGTTATAGAAATTTTAAATTAATATAGGCATCCTATGAATCACAAAAAAATATTTTTGTCAAGTTGTAGATCTGCATTAAAGCTACGGAATACTGTTGAAAAACCCCTTATTTTTGAAAGCTACATTAACTTCCACAGGTCTGTCAAAGGAACTCAGTTATGTTCTTACATTTCCCAGATAAAAACCTGAACGTCAGGTTTTTATATAATAAAAAGGAAGCAATATTTTTCAAGTCTTTCACATGGACTGTCAATGTTTACTCCTAAAAATACATGGAATAATCTAACATTTTAAAAAGATGGTGGGTACAAACAGCTGATTGTAATTTGAACAATATGCTGTACTCCTGACAAGCACTTTAATCCAACAGAGAACACCTATCATAGTATTTTTATTTTTGCACTACACCCATTACCATTGTATACAGTTTCTGGATGGACTTGAGCATTGGACAGTCCCTGAAGAAAAAACAATTGTCAGTTCAAAGTTTCCAGATTCACACTCTCTTATCAGCTTTTGTATCATTTTCACTTGCAAAATAAAAGCAAAAGAAGTATTTCAAGCTTGAAAATGTCCTCACCGTATCCATTATAGCTTCTGGACCTCTATCTTCTTGTTCAGCTAAAGCTTTATTGATTGCTTGTACAGAATCTTCTTTTAAGTGCTTTGAAATATCAGTTCTTGATGGCTGCTCTAAATACTCTGGTTCTCCGGCTTGAACTTAGTGACAGAAATAAAACAACAATTTTGTGTGTTAATATAAGCATGAATTTTAAATTCATTAGTTTTATTTGGATCATTATCTCATCGATAAGGTAAGCACACAGAAAATGCAGGGTAGGTCACACAATTCACAAATACAACTTTACACCAGTCTGTGTCATGTAATTTTAAACACTTCCCTACAAATGGATCCCTGATTTTATATTAGGAACTAATATTTTATATTAGGAATATATTATATTAGAAATTTATATTAGACCTGTCCTGTCTATAGATCTTAAGTGAGGAGCATTCATCAACCAATCATCAGGGATGACTGAGAACAAAGCTGAGATTCTAGCTGGAGTTTCTGTGGGACACAGACCCAACATATGGAATGACCTCCAGCCATCTGAGTGCAAGATCTATTTTTGCTTTATAAAATAATAAACACATTATATTTTTCTGCCTTAAGGCAGACCTCAGTCTCCTTCACTTGAGAGCAATAAATTGATTAGTATCAATAGTGTCTTATATTCCTTACATGATAAAACCAAATTTTGGCAGACTAAACATTCATTTTGTACTTTCCATTACTAACAAAAGAAATAGCATGAATCTCAAAGTGTTTGTGAACTCAAAGCATAACAAAAGATGAAGCAACTCTCCATAGAGTATGCAAAACAAACAATCCCATTAAATCACTGCACTTCTTACACTTATTTTGCAGTCACACATAGCTATGAGAAATGTATACTCAATCTTTAGGACTCAAATCCAGCACTAAGAACATCTGGACAGAAAATTTATCATGTCATCTTTAATATAATATACACAGCCTACTGCAATGAAGCAAAAGGTGAATGTTACCAAAAACCTGGCAGCTCTGGTTTATAATCAGATTGCCAGTGGTCCTTGCAAGCTGGGTTCCAACAAGCATTGGCCTCACCGTTGCTGGTCAGAATCTTTTCCACAATTTTAACACCCTAATTGCCACACAGTAATTTCATAAGCAGGCCCTACTCTCATTATCATTAAATCTATTCAATGCACTGCACCAAATACATTATTCTGCTCCTCAGATCTAAATGCAATTCTAATTTAAAATGTGAATGTAGGTCTCACACTAAATTATCCTGAATAGAAGAAATACATCATTTACAGGCTAACAAGTCCTCAAAACAGACTGGTGAGACCTATCTTAAAAAGACTCAGTTTCTATGGGGAAAAAAAAAAAGAAAAAAGAAGCTCATGACAACTGGGAGGGAAAAGGCAGAAGAACCAATGAATAATTATTTTCTTTAAATAAAGAATGAAATGCAAAAACCCACTCCAACAGGCTAAACTTGAAGTACAGTTACCTTGGCCAAGTAAATAGCTGTAATTCAAGATTACACAAATTAACCTTTTCTTCCTTCATTATGTTCTAAAATATATAGACAAGCCCCAGTGATTTTTGGTCAACAGGTAGAAGCAGCTAACCTGGAGCAGGTGAGGGTGCTGGTGCCCTGGGTATCTGAGATAACAATTTCTCCTGCTGTGCTTTCTGAGCAAGTTCTGCATCCCACTCTTCAAGTTCTTTTTCAAAACGTTTATTGTCTTCCTTGACATAATCCCTTAGATCAGAAGGCAGCGTGTCCATTCCAACAAGCATCTGCCCTGTTTCTTTGTTGAACTCCTCTGTGGTAACATGAAATAAGTGTTTCAGAAAAAGAAAGAATAGGACAAAAAGAAAGTAAGAAGTATGTTCAACAGATATCCTCAAGGGAATTACCAGAAATGCACAGCATAGCACCAAACCCCCAAAAATATATTAGTTTTAACTGGTTTTATTATCTGTTGAGCATTCTATGTGAACATTCAGAGAATACTCACAAAATCTCCACCATTGCTTGATTGTATTACTGCCACAGAGAGCTGGACACAACTAAACTTACCAAGAGAAAAGGGGAAGGAGAGTAGGAGAGTGGACCTACAGAATTCAGAAATCTAGCTGGTAAGAATACTAGCTAAATTGAGTAATCTTCCTTTTGCTTTGAGAATGGTCTCTGCAGGGGTATCCTGCATCCCAGGGGATCCACCAGCAGTAATTACCCTGCAGTGAGCAAAATCCAGTGATTTAACTGGAATGGCACAGGCAATCTACAGGGCCCAAACACCCTATGGTGTGGCTGCAAGTGCACAACCAACGTGGCCACTAGGAATGTCAAGGGTAATATTGGTTCTCATTTAAAAACTGAACAAATGAGCACTTTAGCCTTCTGCCCTATGAAAAAACAGGAACCTGAATATTTTCCATGACCTTCTACTGAATATCTGGACACTTTCACAGACAGCTCTGTGTCTACCATTATCCAAAACTTTGTGTTAAGGGATCGCTGTCCTCTCTTTAATCACTTCCATACAGAGCCTTATAGCAGCATACTCCTATATGACCTGAAAATAATTTCCCAACCCATGTATTACTCAGGTTTGATGTGTGGTTGTTAGGTCTAAGTTATTCACATTTCAGTTTACTGAATAAGCTTTCAAGTTTCCACGCTCCAGTAGAGTGTATCAGGGCTCTGAAGCTTATGGGGAAAAAAGCAGCTACACGAGGATTTTAATGTCAAAAGGCTCATTTCTCCATTTCCATAGTTCTCTTCTAATCTTGAGATAAACCCTCCAAAATTCTGCAATCCCTTCTCTAAAATATTTACAAATTAGCAAACAAGGGTTCTTTATTTTTAATAATGCTGAAACCCAGGCATTCTCTTTATGATCAATAAGCCAAACAGCAATTGTTCCACCCATGAAAACAATCAAACAGTTGGCAGCAGGAATAAAACTTTCAATAGCTATTAAAAACACTTCAAAAATCTGGAAATCCATCTGAAAGAAGTTTGTTTAACCAATGTATTCAGCTACTCTATATCACGGAGAATCTGTGTAGATAACATTACCTTGTATCAAGTACTGCTCCTTGTCATTGATGTACATTAAACAATATGCACTGGCATTCCTGTAACCACCAAAAGAGTCCCGTTCCAACTCTTCCCAAGTTGACTTTGTCACAGAAATATCATTATATTTCATCCATCTGTTCTGGTGGTGGTCATAAATATATGCCCAGTAGTGTCCTGCATTTGCTTGACCCTCATGAACTAGGACAGCATGCAACCTATAAGGAACCTTAAAAAAACAAAACAGGAGATAAATGTCAAAACCTCCCTGACAGTATTTAGTTCCTATTGTATGCCACCATGCTACATGAAATAAAGGTAACTGGAATAAAGTTAATCAGAATCAAAACACAACACAGAGGAAAAACAAGTAAAGCTAGCAACTCACTAAGTACAAGGACATGGAACTATGTTACTTACCACTACTAGTTATAGGAGATCTTAAAAATATTAGTATATGACATATGTCTACTCTGCTGCCTTTACTGCCACTCATCCTCTTTTCTTAATTCCTTAATATTCCTACCTTCATTGTATCTATCAAAAAACCCTCAAATAAGTCAGCCTTGACTGTCTCTGATTTGCTTCAGTTCCAACCTGGCAAATCTGTCAAAAAGTCTGGAAAGGCACATGCAAATTCAAGGTAATAAACTCAGTGTTTTTTGTGTGACAGTAAAATAATTTATTTAAATTAGTATCTAGTTCAGTTATCCAAAAAAAAAAATTCCCACAGTAGAATAGGAACACAACTGTTTTCCAGTGTTTTAACTGTATCAGGAAAAGCCAAATAAAGCATGGAAGACCTGAAAAGGTCCTCTCCTGCTCCTGAGGCAAAGGATGATAGCAGTTTCTAGGATCAGTGGAAAATGAATTCCAGGCTACATCTGTAAACCAACAAGTAAGAACAATGAGAAACTTAGTTTCTACCTAATTGGGAGTCTGAAGGAGAGAAAGAAGCAGAATGAATGAGTTCTTTCTTTTTTACAAGTCTTTTGAGAACATCTTAGTGATTGACTCATTTTAACCTGCTGGAATAGCACACGCAACGTAAAAGGGAAAGCTGAGCTTCTCTGCTATGCACAGTGTGTCTCAATGACAACAGCTCAGCTGAGATGAAAAACCCCAAAACCAGCTTGTGCTGGTGTCACAATCTGGACTGAAGACAAACAGTCTCTTTAACTCAAGGTGTACTCAGTATTTTTTGAAAATTGTGTACTCAAAATCATTTGAGTACTGCAAGAATCACAAACACACACATATCTGTGACTGGAGAAACTCCTTGAAATTATTTTTAACCTGATCATTCTCTTCCAGGCTATATGCAAGTGCTGGAGATTTTCCAACTCCCCTTGAACTGTAAAGCAGAGTGACTGCACGCAGCTGGAATCAAACAGCCTGTCTTTCCAGAGACCAGACCACACTCTAAATCTTCCAAACACAAGAAGAAATCCTGACAAGTCCTTAAATCTGAATGCTAGGGGGTTTTTAACATCTGTTATTAAACCAGTGTGAAAGCCTCCTTAACATGACTGCAAGCCTCTGCATATGCACAAAAACGTATGCAGATCCTGATTTAATAAAAAAGGGTCTCTTCAGACTTTGTCAAAACAAAATTATCATACCCTAAAATCAGGAACTAAAAATCCCCATTGAATTTAAATAGTTTTACTTAAAACCATGCAAACTGGGTCAGCTTGAGTGTCCCCACCCTTTCCTGCAAGCCAGGAGAAGTAGCTGTCAGTCACCTACACTGAGCTTTCAGGAAGGCTCCCCACAGAGGTCTGTGACCAGGGGACAGGTGAGTTCAGTGCCAACAGGCATCTCTTGTGATAAGCCATCATATCAACAGTAATTAATAGCAGAAGGCAACACAAACATGGGTGGCATTAAATTTCTCAGTTCACACTTACTACTTGTAAATCAGGAATAGAGCTTCACCAACCCCATCACATGTAGCTAGAGAACAGATATGTCAAAGCTACTATATCCAAGATAAACTCCCACAGAAAAAAAAGTTGTGTCTCTTTCCCAACAGCAAGTTCACAGAAGGAAGGAAATAAATAAGCAGCTGATAAAACATTCATTCAGGAGAATGAAACAATAAAGATTTCAGGAATGTATCTCATATGACAATTTGACAAAGGTTTTATGGACTACTGTATCTCCTTAGAATCCAAAAGGACAAAAGGAGAAAACAAAGAGCTTATCAAATAGTTCATAAATATAATATTTGCAGGATGTTTCCTAGTGTATGTTTGTCTTAAAAACGTGTCTAGTTTTGTGTGCATAGAACTTGACTTCAAGACTGCAATCCTGCAGTTGTATTTTGCAGAGGAAAACTGTTCCCAGGGAATGGGGCAATACCCAGCTATCAAATCACCCAGAGACAGAGGAAGCAGGGAAAAGCAGACAGCTCTGCATACCTACCTCCTTCCTATTGTGCCAAAACAGCAACAGAGACAAACCAGGTGAGCTGCAGAAGGGCAGCTTCCCTCCCAGCCTGTGATTTCAAATGGGTTCAGCACCTACTTTGTGTTTTACTGAGTAATCTCTTTTTTCTTTTGTAATGACAGCTGACTAGTATCTTTGCTATCCCGCAGTATTTCTTCCTGCAACACCTAAGCCAACACAGGTAGATTATTCAGATGCAAGTTACCAAATTAATTTTTACTGTTAGATGACATGTAGCCTGTGGCCTTCTTCTTAGAACACAAGTATTAAGGGAAAAAAGTGCCTGCTAGTAGCAAGCTTAAAGAAAGCCATCTAGGCAAATCTGCCTGAAATTCTTAACATCAGAGGTCAGCTGCCAGTAACTATTAGGAGCCATGTACAAAATGAAAACATACCTCAAGAAAAACTGTAAGCTGAACAGATCTTACTTGGAATGAAAATAGTTCTTTTTACTAACAGAAAGTAACAGAGGGAGCAATCCTTAACCTTAAAAGCTCTCAGTGAGAGAAGATGAGTATGTGAACATAAGAAACAGCAGAGGAACAATTCCACAGCAAAACGATCTAAAAACACTGATCATATTACACATAATAAGAATTTGCTAGAAGATAGCTTAGACTAATAATCAAAGTTGTGAGTGATACAAAATCTAGACAAAGTTATAAACAAACAAAAAAAAACCAAACAAAAACCAAGCCAATAGCAACAACACCACTCACTACAAATTAACTACAAATCAAAATCAGAATTTCATTGTATTAGCATGGAAGTTGCAATACACAGTGGCACTAAGCAGCAACGTAAATAGTACTTTCCTGTGTCTAATACTTCACCACCTTAAAGCCATAAGATTACTGAGTAATAATGGGCAAATCAGGTCAAGAAAATTTTGTTGTGCAAATCTGCATTCAGGTAAAAAATGGGGATCAGAGGTAGAAGATATTTGGGCTTTTCATCATAGTTGCCTGAATTTAAGCATGCCATCTGTAAAATACTGTAATGCTGTCTTTCATTTGACTGTGCACAACTAAAGGGCTTACAAAACCCATTATGACTTTGCAATGAAATTTCTCAAAACACTACATAATGGTATAGTTGCTCTCAAAACACTACATAAAACTTGCTCTGTTTTCAAACATCTAAGAATTTTTAAAAAGTGCCAAAAAAGATCTATTTTCAATCATGCCAAAACTGTACTTACCTGGACCATTGTTTTGTCAGAGTACATCAACTCAATTGTCCGATGTATTCGAGATATACTTTCTTGTAAATCTGAAAGACAAAGAAGAAAGAACCTCTCTTCCACAGGCTGTATAATTGCACGTGACTACATCTTTATCTCATGAAAACCCAAACAGGGGTGCATTTCACACATCTATCTACAAGCCAAATGCTAAACCTCCTGGGATGAAAGATTTCCCCCATGTGCACAAATCTTTTCCTACAGCAAATGCACTCCCCAATGTGTGGCATTACCTCTTGTGTCATTCTCAACTTCAGTCCTCCAGCGGTGCAAACAGCCCTCCAGGACAGACAGCTCCTCCTCTGTGATGTGCCTTGGTGCTGGATGCATGGGCAGGTCAGGGGGAATCCGTGATTGTGTGAATGGTTTATGTATTACTGATCTCTGTACAGGAGATGTGCTTGGGACATCTGATGATGAAGGCCCCTGCTGCTCTATTGTGCTGCATTCATTCAAAACATGAAATATAAAAAATTGAATCATCATGTAGACAGACTAAAAGTTACACCATAAAAATAAGCTTTTCATTTGAAAATGGGCATTTTAAAGGTAATAATTTCCTAAAGTGCAATCCAGAACACATAACTACAATAGCAATATGGAATTAGTATTTAAATTCTGAAAGCTTTGTGGTGCATTACATGTTAGCACAACAACAAAGTTTGGTATATTTGAAACACTACTGAACAATTTCAAATCATGTCATACATGTAAATAACTGTGATTTGAAACATTTACAGCCAAGTGGCAGAGAGGGAAATCACAGTAGTTTGTCTTATGGCCCATGACCATAAAATCCAATAAGCACAAATGCTCAGTTTAATAACTTCCTTCATGTGTCTTATGCCTAGCAGACTTTTTCCAACATCCTACCTACAACTTATGTTAGATGAGCAGCAATAATGAAGGGACCTCTGATATTTATGCCACACTGGAAATGCACTACCAACCCATCTAAATTTCTTCCAAACCACTCTAACACAAACTGCAAAGCAGCCACCTTAGGAGAATTCTGCAAGAGCAGCAGGGTAATAAAAAGGAAGACTTGTTACAGATTTTTCTCTTCCCATCAACAAGATCACCTCTATATAATTACACTGCATAAGAGGAATGTGAAGATCTTTCTTGCATGCCACTGAATTTTTACTTTGTGTACAGTATCATGATACAGCCTGAGGAACTTGTATTCTTCAGGAGTTTAGAAAGTTCTGAGAACATTAAGAGCTGAAAATGTCACTCCATATAACATGCTGTGGTGTTTCTACAGATGGACAAAAAAGCCACAAGACTTACATTTCTACAGAACAAACTTCCTGTACAGGAGTTTGACTAGTTTATTACTTTTGATAAAACATTTCATGCAAGCAATGGTAACTTTTAAAAGTTTGTCTTCTCCTATCAATCATCAAATTTCTGCTGGCATTATACCAGTAAGGCACTGGACATCTTTTTAAAGCCTTGATAGATTCATGTACTTCACTTCTCTGAATGACAAATTTAACAGCCTTGACTGACCCAGAAGACAGAACCCTACTGTCCAAATACAACATACAAAGCTATGTTACAAACTGTTAAATGTCCACTTATCCAAAATTGTACTCTATCACCAAAGAATTATTTAGGTTGGAGAAAACTTCTAAGATGATGATGTCCAACTGTTAATCCAGTGCTGCCAAGTCCACCACTAAACCATGTCCCTCAGTGCCACATCTACACTTATTTTAAATACCTCCAGTGATGATTCCACCACTGCCCTGGGAAGCCTGTTCCAATATTTGACAACACCTTCTGTGAACAAATACTTCTTAGTATCCAATCTAAACCTCCTCTAGTGCAACTTGAGGCTGTTTCCTTGTGTCCTGTCACTTGTTACCTGGGAGAAGAGGCTGGTTCCCACCTGGCTACACCCTCCTGTCAGGGGGTTGTACAGAGTGATAAGCTCTCCCCTGAGCCTCCTTTTCTCCAGGCTGAGTTCCCCCAGCTCCCCCTCATCACACTTGTGCTCCAGACCATTCCCCAGCTCCATGGCCCTTCTCTGGACACACTCCAGCACCTCAATGTTCTTCTTGCAGTGAAGAGTCCAAAACTGAGTACAGGACTGAGGTGTGACCTCAGCAGTGCCCAGCACAGGGCACAGTCCCTGCCCTGGTCCTATTGCCACACCACTGCTGATCCAGGCCAGGTGCCATTGGCCAGGTGCCATTGGCTCATGTTCAGTCACTGTGGACCAGCACACCCCAGTCCTTAGCCAATAAATCTGCAAACTGACTGAGCATACACTCAATCCCCTACACTGAGTTACTAACTTAAACAGGGAGAAAAACATTATTGGACATTGATCTCTCTGGTACTTTAGCTATTCTGCATTTAAGAAGTCAGATTATTTAGGTTCCTGACAAATTTGGTAAGATATGCAAACTGCATGGCAGAAAAGGAGCTTAGTTCCCAGGCAAAAAATAACAGATAAATTGCACACCAGAAACCTTGATGCCATGCAGCACATACACACTGCCCAATTCAAATTCTTAAACAATACACATGGGAATCAATGACCTCACCAGCATCTTCAGTCTATTTAGAATTGCAGATGGAATTGGGCTGTGCTTGAAAATGGTAATCTCCTTGTGAAGACATTTTTTTAAGTGCATGAGACAAACCCAGGTCATTAACATTTTTATTGATTTAAGCCTGCCGTGCTGAAAGAAAAGAGCAGAAACTTTATGCTACCCCCCCTAGAGACTGTTAGTTTTATTGGTGTGGTGCACAAAGCGGCTGAACGTGCTCCCTGTCCCCCAGAGGCTGGCTGGCTCTGGTCTCTGCCTGGGGAGCAGGAGGCAGCCCTTACCTGGGGGGGAGCTGTGGTGGCAGTGTGCCGCTGGCGGGGGCACTGGCACCCAGGTCATCCACGGGGGACGTGCACACCGGCTTGCTGGAGGCAAACTCCAGGGCATACTGCAGGACATCTACCAAGGGGAATCGTTTAGGACCAGAACCATAGCTTAAATATCTGTTAACCACAAAACGTATTAATGCCGTGACTTACAGACACACACACACAAAAAAAAAGAAAATTAAAAAAGAAAAAAAAAATTATATTTTTTTTTCTGATTGACTGCAATTAATTAAAGCAAATCTTTCCTAGCATGTTTTATGAATCAGAATTACAACACTTATACACAGCTTCCAAAGAAAGGGTAAAAAAAGAGATACAAAAAGGAAATCTCAGGTAAATAACTATACACAAAGTGTATAATTGCAAAGAGTTATTCTATGTAGCCCATAATACTATTAGCATTTACACAGTTATCTATAGTACCGTTCTAATCTCTGCTGTAAAACTGTGAGGTACTCTTTGAGTCTCTTGATTTCATCTCGTTTAATTCTTGTTATTTCTCTGTTTTTGTGCATATACCTGTAAAACACAAAATTTAGAAAGTAGTGTCAGCCCATAGTATCCCACCAGTGAAACTGAGGTCTGTCTCCATCAGCCATGCAGTTCAATACTAATAAAAACTGACAACGCTCTAGAACCTACAACATACTCAGCACTAAAAGAGAAGTGAGAAGAAAATGAGCCTTCCCTTCCACAACTTTCAGAAGATGCTTTTTCCTCAGTGTCAAAAGCTCTGTTGATACTGTGGATGACAAACATGCATTAGAAAGCCACTATTAGAGAGATTCTAAGTTAAGCAGTTTAAGTGGCAATCCCAGAGCAATACTCCTGTTTCATTATTTAGGTTCACAAATAACTTTACTGAAAGTCATCCTGGTATTTCTGCTCTACAGAGAAACTGCATGCACTCATGCTGAGAACTGACTGCATGTCTGAAGAGTATCTGCAACATCACAAAATATCTAACTTGTCACCCTGTTTCCCAAAGTGACCCATAAATGGTGGGTCTGATTTTTCAGAGTATTTTGCCTGTGTACACAAGTACCGAGCAATAAATGAAAGTGGAAACAGGTTTTTGACACAAAGCAGCAGTATGTCTTAAATTGTGATCTATGTGTATTTTCTGAAACAGATGAAACCCATGAAAACTCTAACTTGTGTAAATAGAACATAAATTTACTATGATTCAAGTGAGCATAAAATACATCATCAACTTTAACAAACTTACAAGATTTATTTTATATCCACACTAGAATTTTGTTGATAATATTATACCGTACCTGTCTAGATACAAAATTGGAGGAAATTCTAATTTGTTGTGTATCTTCTCTGGTCTCCCCAAAGCCTGATTAAACTCAAATCTTGATAGCTCAAAAGTTAAGACAGGAGGAAGCTCTGTGAACCAGTGCTGGATGAAGAAACAGAAATCCCCAAAATTAATGCCTTTCAATAGCAGAAATCCAATAGTAATGACATAGTACCTGCAGACTGATACAGCTATGACAGAAATTGGTTTTAGGTTGGGTCAGCATAAGTTTTCCAATGCTACCACCCTCTCCCTTCAATGTAAACACAGAGTATTTGTTGCCCATGCTGCATAGGAGCTTTGCTATCTGTGTTCCAGCAGAGGAGGCAGAAATACTTATTCCACTCACATTTATTTTGCTCATGCAGAAGTCAGCTCATGCTTGAGCCTACCTGCCTTGCCAACAGTCCTGTTCCCTTAACTCCTCAATGATATTGAAAGGGCTGTTTACACTGTTATCAAGTGCTCTTCCTGCTATAGTTCTCTCAGACTCAACTTCCTGATCCTTTTATTCACCTAGCAACATTCAAAGCTCCTAACAATCCCCTGTGAAACAGGATCAGTGAGTTTTTGACATTTCCTGGGTACTAACAGCTTAAAGTTCCTTCTCATGTCTTTAATCATCTTACTATCTTCTGCTATCATCATCTTACCCCATTTGTCTTTGACTACTCAGCAGAGGTCTATCCATAGTCCTCATTTCTTTTTTTACATACATTGTTTCTCAATTACAATACAAATCCAGCTCCAGTTCCAGCACTGAAGTATGATCTTTTTTTTCCCCTCTCCATTCTCACACATAACAACGACAGTCTACCCATTTAAATAAGTTTTGGGTGTCTAACCACCACCTGAAGTTTCTCTGATTGCTGCAGACACCATTGACATATTTGTCATCAGTGCCATAGCCCAGATGTGGCATTTGACTCAGGGCTCACTACAAGTTCTCCTATCCAGCCAAATGTCTTGAATAGTCTTTTCATATAATAACTGGCAAACAGCCTTTTCTTCCAGTGCTCATGGCTAAAATTCTCTTGAAACAGAATTTAAGTTCCTCAGGACAGAGAATATCTCCTTTTTCTGTTCCTACATTAGCTCACTAGCTGACACTCTGCTCTGTAACTGAGGCTTTTAGGCATCATGATAACAATGCTAATATTAATACTAATACTAATAGCAATCAAGCTAAATACCCCATTACAGTCAATGGTAGGAAAAAGGAAAAAAACCCAGAATGTTACTTTGAGGATCTTTGAGTACCACATTATTATTCTCTTTAAGCTTTGATATCAATCAACTCAGAGAAAAGTTTCTTGAAGTCTTTGTTCAGTTGAGACAGACCATGTTAAAGCTACAAGAAATTCAGAGTCCTTTAGTACCTCCAAAACTTCCAATGCACTGTGACATCTTTCAGGCAATATATTTAAACACATATTATTGCTTTAAACACATATTATTGCTTCTTACTAAATGAAGCAAGATCACTATGGATTATTTCAGTGAAACAGAACCAATTTACTTGGCCCTAGTAATAATGAAGCAATGGTTTTTCTAGAATAGGACTTAACACGTTACTTTTCTTGTTTTTCCACCATTGTCAATCTGTCATATGACTATTTCACTTCTATTTCCACATGCTAAGAAGCAAAGCTGACAATTTCACAGAACTCCAAGTTTAACAGTATAGATCTGTACATCACTATCCTGCTGTTTCCCAGTTTCCCAATATTACAAGTTAAAAAAGTCTCAAAACCAAAACAAACTCACAACACACAAATCTGACATTTCTAGTCAAGCATTTATAACAGAACTGGTATTTTATGCATGAATACACACAGGTTATAACTGCAAGACAACCTTTAGTTCAGAAGATGAACAATTATGCTCTTGTAGTAGGTACAACAAGAGCATGGAAAAACTAAACTTGGGATTGCACCAAGAAATTAATGAGATTTTGTTTTCTTCAAATTACATTTCAGGAAATATGCTCATTGTAAAAGAGATGCAATAAAACATTTGTTGTAAAACACAGAATTGGTACCAGAACTTCAGACTGGAGGATGATTTCAGTGTGTGTCACTAGGCTTCACAATTTAACCCCATGTGTACTCTGACATTAAAGGAAGCAAAATTGCATTACTGCAGAAGATTGACATCAAGGAAGAAATTACACCTGAACCTTTTACATAAGTAGGAAAAAACCTCCAAGATTTCACATCTTTACTATAACTGTGATGAAACATGAACAGCTGTGCAAAGAGAAAGTAGCTCAGCCTTTACAGGCAAAGGGGATTCCCATCTATACAGCAGGTGCCATGAACCATAAAAACCAGACATGAAACCCAAAGACAAATAAAAATACAATAACATCCCAAGAGAAGTGCACAGGAGCACTTAACTCACCTCCTGACCAGACTTTGCAGAGTTTTCTGAATGGAGAGATTCAATTTCCCCTTCAATCATTGCAGCTTCTAGGCACTCATGCAGATCTTTAAAGCCATTAACCTGTAGTGGATACTGGCCAAACATTTCTGTGTTTTCAAATTTTTTACCTTCACATGAAAAATTAAACAGTTAATGTTTTAGAACAAAAAATTTACCTTGAAAAAAACCCTATCTATCCTAAGTCAATTGATCTAGTCTACTAAACAACATCCACATTTTCTTATTGAATTTAATGACATGTTAAAAGACAATTTATTCAAAAATGTTGCTCAAGCAATATTGAAAATTACTGTATTTTCCTCTTCAGCCCACGTTTATATTTTTTAGCATCTTTTGGTAATAAGCAAAACTGAAAGTTACTTGGTACCACAGACATATGGGAAGTTTTACACATATAAATCAAAGTCCTCCCCTGCAAATAGGAGCTTCATAATACAAATGTATATTGTATCAGCAAAGTCAGTGGAATTACTGGTATGAAAGAGCCCTTTGTATAAGTATATTTTGCAAAAATAAGCCACAAAAGAGAACATTCATTTCTGTCCTGAAAACAAGATTATAATTTGGTAACACTGTATAAAGATGTAAGTGCAAAACTGAGGACAAATATGGAGGACAAGTGTTTTCAACCTAGAAATTCAATTTATTTCAACCTAAAGTCAGTAACAAGTCTTGCATCCCCTAGTTTCTTTTCATTTGTTTGATTTTTACAAATCTCCTCTGTTAAAATGAGAATAAAAGGGATGAAAGTAGCTAAATATAAAGAAGCAAGAATGCTACTAGCAAGAAATCTGCAGAATGGTTCTGAAATCTGACAACAACTCAACAGAAACATGTTCAAGGTCACAGAATAACCTGGAAGCCACTTAAAAGACTACACCTGCTTCATTCAAATGCAAAAGTGATTTACTTGGATGGGAGGCAGAATCACCAACATTAAAATGACTCAAAAATACTTTCATAGCCTTTTGGAAATAGAGAACAGTACAATTCTGTAGATCTACTAATTGCACATAAACAAGGTAAAGGGAAGCTTGTTGTACAGTGTCTTCCTCCTTAGCGCTCTCTCTAACACTGCCCTTGAGCAGGTTTCTACTGACTTGTTTTCCAACAAACTGCACTTGTAGGAGGGTGAGCTTTCCATATGAGACATTGTGCATAAGGAAATGCTGTAACTGAAGGTTTAAATTGCATTAAATGAATCAGAGGGAGCATGAGAGAACAGCTCAGTGAAACGCAGTATCTTGCATTCTGGTAAGTGGTAACAGTGCCCCAGTAATTTCTTCCAAGCATCTCCCTCAGCACTAACTCCTTAACTTCCCTCTCACCCCAACTCCTGCTGCACTGAGAACATACACTCAGCTCCTGAAGGTTATGAAAACAGTTTTTGTGGATCCCTACAGCTCACTGCATTTCTCCTCAGTCTCATACCTCACCAACCATTTGTCACAGACAAATTTATATATGTGTGTTCTCCATATCTGCTTCTGCAGAAGCAGCTAAAATCCCAAAAATGCATCAGTCACCCTTGTGCTTGGACAAGCACAGATCAGACATGACCAGAGAAGTCCAAGTAAATTCTGATGCATACCTTCAAGTACACCTACTGCTAGAAATCGTCCATAAAACAGCTCCACCATTGGGTTCTTTGGTTTCTCTCCATCCCTAAAAGAACAGAAGCTGTGTTAGTGCAAAAAAATCCAAGTCAAAGCTACAATCTTTGATTTATAAAACTATGAATTCTTCTCAAATTCAGAGTTCAGAATGAATGAATGCAGAAGTTTAAAAACTTCTGAATTCATTATAGAAATGATGCCCATCTTACTGTTATTTTATTTTTGTACTTTCCTCTAATGACGATAACAATGATTCAGATATTTGCAGGGTAAACTATATTCTGAAAACTAATTTTCAGAAGTGTTTCATTTTAAGACAATCTATGCAAACCAGATTAAATAACAATACAGTTTAAACTGTACAAAACCCTTGTAAAAACTGTTTCTTAAAACATTATAGAAAAAAATCATGTGTTCAAAAGAGTTTCCAGATGCTCACTAATACAAACAATGTGTATTTTCTTCTGAGATGAGAAAGAGGAGCAAGGTTTTGAAGTACTTTAACTACAGGATCGAAAAGCAGAATGGCATTAAAATAAAAAAAGCCTAATTGACTACCTACAAAACACCTCTCTATTTTACTCTTTATATACTCTGGACCTCATGGAGCTAGATTTCTAATATGAAGTAAGAGAGTGAAAAAAGACAATTTGTGGAAAAAACCCGAAAGTATTGATATGTATGGAAAAAATCATACCTGAACTACAACAAGTTACAGAGTCAAATTTTTTTCAGCCATACAGAGAATTGCATTTTTGGCCATTTGGTTTGCTTTTCTCTCATCTAAAATGTTCAACATGCAGAGCTAAGAAAAAATCTTACCTCTCTTCTTCAGCTTTAATTTGGAAGGCATCTTCTAGCCAATCTAATAATTTGTGTGTAAATTCACTAACGTCTTGCTGTTAAAAAATAAAGTGATCAGTACACATTTGCAACAGAACACAACGAAGTGTCACCTTACAAGAGCAGTTTAGCAGAATTCCCTTCCCCCTCCACCAGTGTTCCAGAATCACACAATGTCTAAGACTATGCCATGATTGTTTTTTTTATGAGTGGCTCTGGTGTTCCTCAGCAGTGACACTGTCCTGTGATCCTTGTTACTTGGGCTCAGCTTTCACACCACGCTAGTCCAAAGGCATCTCTTGAATCCCATTGTTCAAGCCCTTTGGTATCTAGCAAGTGGTGACTAATATTACTTTCATCAAGCACTAAATTCTGTGTGCTATTATAATTAAACACCTCAGCCACATAACCTCATGTTATGAAACAAAGCATCTGAAGAAATAGGATATTTCTCAAAAAAAAAGCAGAATATACACATTAAGATTTGAGTAATAATCCTGAATATTAATATTTAGATCAGCCAAACCAGTATCCAAACAAACAGTATAAAGGCATTGTACATTAACAGTACAGCCCTGGGTGTACTGTTAGATCAGAATAGTATTTCTCCTTCAAAAACTCCCAGACTTAGAAGCTAAACGAAATCCTAAAAGCAAGAATGTTTAACTATTAGTCCATTTCTAAAATAATAGAAAGTGTATTGAATAAAATGTTATTGAATAAATAACATTTTTTGAATAAATAAATAAATATTGAATAAAATAGTCCTGTTGTATGAATTTTTTTTCATCTTTCTAATAAATGTAACCAGAAACCACATAAGTTCAAAGACTGTGATAATTAGAGGCTGCTTTTCTGCAGACATTTTGAAATTCTGTTGTCTACACTAAGTATTGCCTATTACATGGAAAGTGGTATAATATGGCTATATAAAAACATGCACAAAATTGATTGAAAATACATGGAATTTACCTGTTGGGAATCATTTGATTTAAAAGCATCTTTAAGGATTTCAACTGCTCTTGATGGATCAACATATTTTCTCTTTGAACCAACTAGAAGTGCAAACAGGTACCTCAATTCACGCATGAAAGGCAGATTCCTATGTTCCTGTATGTGAAGAATAAAAATATTTAACAAAGTGGTAACAGAAATCTACTGAACAGAAATGTTACCCAATAACCTGAGTCATAATAATATATAAGGTTACTTGCAGTACTACCAAGGTAATGCTGCATGCCTTTTACTTGTCAATGTTACAAAATAATGCGGTTTTCTGAGAAGAAAATTCCATTTCAGAAATGAAAGGTTCCCTGAAATCATATCTAGATGATACTGTTTGTCTTGAAGAGGGCCTGCATTGACAACTGGACAAGCAGAGATGCATTTAGCACAGAAATGTTTCTCTGGAGACTTACAAAGCCTTAAGTAACACCCTGCAACAATATGCATTATTTTATTGAAATTAGTATTCCTCTGTACCTCTAGAAGAATTTCTTGTGAGCCTACACACTACTTAGCACCTTTTTTAAGCTTATTTTTTCCTGAAGACTCAACTTCCAAGGTCTAAATTAACCTTTCTTATTTCTCTTGACACAAGTAAAATAGCCTGCTCTCGTTCCTACCCAGCTTTGAAGTACAGTTCATGTGACTATGGCATTCTTTTGCTGCTTTCCAGAAGAGAAGAAATACTTTCTGCCTGCATGATGAAAAACAAATAAACTGAAATACAAATACCATAGATTAAATCACAGGTTACCAATGCTGCAGAGATTGGGTATCTGCTCCTGAGTAGATAGTTGGCAAATACTTGTGAAATTAAACCCCACGAAATATCCACTTGTGTTTAGAACAAAGTATCATTCAAAGGCACCACAGATGTCTGATACTGGTCAAACTGGAATTACTTGATGACAAACTATTGCATATGCTCATCAGACAGCAGACTTGTTTAGTCACTCCTGTGTAAATCCAGGAGGCATAAAGCTTTTTATATGTAAAATATGGTTTACTTCAGATTGCAAAAGTGCACAGTGAATTCCATGTGTTCCACATAATACCTAGGAAATACTTCTAGCCATGTAAATCTCTGAATTTAACTTGCTCTTCTAGTCCACCTTGCAAAATACCTGCCAGTTATTAACACTGCTCACAGAAAAGGCTGCACTTCAAGTGCCACTCTAATTCAGCATCAAACCATCCTAATTTAAGAACAAAATCAGTCTCCCATTTAGATACTTAAAGCATAATATAACAACAAAAGAAGGAAACAAACTGAAAAAGTTGTATTTTTCTTGCTGTTTTCTTAAAGTTTTCTATTAAAACAAATGGAATTTCAATTTTTAGATACATTTTATAAAGATGCTTCAATATCAGTGATAGTTCGCATGCACAAAATAAATTATTAACCACAGAATGCTATTTTTATTCAATCTGAAGTACATAGGCATTATTATAAAGTACATAGTACATTACTGCATTACCCAAATTTACACTACAACTTTGGCAGAGTTTTAGCCAAAGTTAGCTTGAACAACTTAGCTTGAACAACTGCCTACCAATGGAAGTAGAATTACTCAGAACAAATATCTACAAAGGCTACTAAAGTTCTCCAAAACTAGGGAAATCCTTGCTGCTTTTGAAAAAGCTCAATTTAATGCAATAGACATAACCCTTGACCAGAACTAACCCTAAAATCTTCAAAATAAGGTGGGTCAATCCCTAAGATAAGGTACTGAGTTCCACAAAAGGACTTGCACATCAAAACAAAGAACTGATAAAGTGAACACAGCATAGCATACAGTCCTCACCTCTAAAGCATCCTGTACATGCACCAACACAAAATAAGTTTTTAACTAAGCACTGCATGGAAATTTCATAATCTAAAACATTCTCTATTTTATCACCTATCCTGCCTGCATAAATAATTCCTTAATACATGTCAGAATAACTTATTATTATAAATGCTTTTAAAGCAGTCTACATATTTAATACATAGCAAACACTCACTATGGCAAATCAGGTTGCCAGGAGAGTGAGATAATGGTAATATTACAATAATATCAGAACAGGTGGAAGGATGTGCTAACCTAGAGTGTAGTAACCCCTCTTCTCTGATAATAAAATGTTTCCTAAAGATATCACTGAGGCCAAATATTTAGCTGGTCTCAGTGTGTACAGGAAAAAGATCTGTTCATGTGACAGCAAGAGCCAAGAGAACTGGGACAGCAAAGAAGCTGCAGTAACTACAGAGAACTGCATTTGTTCTATAGAAAGAAACCAAGGAAGATAAATTATTTTCAAATTAAAAAAAGGAAGATCAAATCAAAGATTTTAAGTGCATGCCCAAATCCAGAAAATCAAAGCCCAATTAGCTGAGACAAATAGGGTGGGGCTGTTGTTTGTTTGGGGGTTTTTTGAAGTAAAAATTTATACCAATGGCTTCTGGATCAAAAAGTTTACATGCCACATTATTCATAACATTTGGATTCAATATATTGATGGGAAAAAAACAAACATCCTGCTCTGTAATATTCCCTGAAGTACAACCACATGCTTTAATTCTAAATCAAGAGATTGTCATGACCCCAGCATTAAACTGTAATTCCTACCAACTGGAAGAACAACAGGATGTAAACCCAAGTATTCAAAATTTGGGATTATTAAAACATATCCTTTATTAGCAAGGAAATTTGATCCTGGAGAATGTCAGTCACATATGGTAGTTAATATTTAAAAAAAAAAACCAAAACCAAAACTGAAGCAAAATAGTTTTAAAATAAGTAAGCCATCAGAAGTAAATTCCAGGGCTTTACTTTTTTTTCTACTGTCAACTGGTAACTTATATTACAACTCTGAATCAATTTGCCTCTAATTGCCTTCACTTACAAAGAAATAAAGGCACCATATTTGGGGGCATGCATGCTCATGTCTTCTGTTCATCTAAATTCCAACTAGTGCAGCGATCCTTTATCCTAAATTCTCCTCAATCCATTTTCAGCTGTAGATAAGACAGAGCAGTACATCAAGTCATAATGTTACTTCATTCTGGAATGTAAGTTAACAAAGGAGAGGACACAAACTACTGCCAGAGATTCTTTCTAGCAAGGTTTCTGCCCAAATCCATGTACTTGCCTGGTGTCACACCATTTCTCACGAACTTATTGCCTGTCATGGTCAGAATTTCTAAAAGAAAGCACTTTGGAAGAGCTAAAGGCATTTGGCTGCAAGTGTCAATGCTTGGGCAAGACGTTTATGAAGCCAACAGCTTGTTATCAGCTATTTCATACCACTTTGCAGATGGCAATTGCTTTTTCCATGCTGAAAAATGAACACAGAATTTCTGAGTACTGAAGAATATTACTAAAACAAATTACATGATGAAAAATTAAATGCTGAGCAGAAAGTCAATCTAAAAATATAAATAAAAAAATGTAGTGTAACTATTTGTAAAGCATGACTAATCTTTCTCATTAAAATACACTGCCCCATCCCTACCTTGTGTTGGGAACACTACCCATGTTTTCTTTTCACACCATCTCATGACCTAATGCAAGCATGCTTTCCAACCAAAAAAGTGACCTCCTGCACTTTGAATGTGGAGAGGAAAGAAGGGGGTAGGGCAGGAGAGAAATTATCCAGGCCTGACTGGACATTCAACTTCCCTTTTATGGAGCATACCCAGAGGTTTAGAAAATGGACACTGTCTTCTCTTTTTTTTTCTTTTGCTTCTCTAATTACAGCTCTTACTTTTGATAGTGAACATTCCAGAGAATCCTGAAGGGACAAACAACTAAGAACAGGCTAACAACACACTTGCTTGTTTAAATCTGACAGAAAGGGGCAACAGGAAGTACTCTAATTTACTGTGAGGGTGGTGAGACCCTGGCACAGGTTGTCCAGAGAAGCTGGGGATGCCCCATCCCTGGGAATGTTCAGGGCCAGCTTGGATGGAGTTCTGAGCAACCTAAACTAGTGGAAGGTGCACCTGTCCATGGCACAGGGATTGGAAGAAGTTAATCTTTAAGGTTCTTTTCAACCTAAATCATTCTAATTTTGGGTATGCAAAAATTCATTGCTCTATAAGTCCCTGCTAAAAATCAGGGACAAAGCATCTTCATACAGCCACTTCCTTTTCCATTTTTTCCTTCCTATTTCATAGCATGGAAACCACAGGGCCCCCACAGCATTTGTCCTCAAAGGAGGCCCATGAAGGAAGAAAAACTGATCTGTCTTGTCCCCCACTCCATGACCACTCCCCCTTGCCAGTCTGAAGCCACACAAAACCTAAGGTAAGGCCTTCCCCTCCCTAGTCCTAATGAGTACCAGGGTAAGCATGAGAAAATTTATACTTATAATCACCTCCTGAAAAAGCCAGAAGAGACAAGCTAATGAATGAAAGCTCAACATCAGATCATGAGTGGGAGGGAACTGGAATAAAATAAATTTGCTAAGACAAGCTACACTCACATGAGAAATGCTCTGCCTCTCTCAGCACCCTGCCCCATACTCTGCTGCCAGGCTGATGCCATTTATGTAAGATCCACAGCAGGAAGCTCAGAGAACTGTTAACTGGCACCTCTAAAACCCACGCTGATATGAGCTACAGATTCAAGCTAAATTCAAGTACAAGACAGAAATGCCCTCATCAGCCATGAGAGAAAATCAGTTTCTCCTTTTACCTTTTGGTTTCGGGGTAAATCTTGAGCATTTGCAGGAGGATTGAAATTCAAAACTAGTCTTCGAAACTCCAGTAGGTTAAATAATGACTGAAAAGAAAAAAATTAAGAAAACCTTTAAGCACTTCTACAAACAATACAAAACTCTTCCAAATAAGCCTTAGCAAAACAAATGAAGTGTCAAACACATGCAGTGTTAAGTTTTGTTTCAGAAGGCAGAGTATTGCTAAACATATTTTCACCAGAAGACAATTACTTTTGCCAAGAAAACAGCATAATAAAAAAACAACTCTGCACTTAATCACATAAAAGGAACAATAATTTTACATAATAGGCAAATTACATTTTACAACAAGAATTTTATGAATTGTATAACTGTCAGTTTTCAAAATAACACGAAACACTGTTTAGCCATCTAAAATTTATCTTGTAGGCCCTCTATCATCTACTCCTAAGTGCACAGAGAGTACATCTCTGCACGTGAACCTAATTCCACTTGCATTAGCTGAACATTTTGCATTCTGTCCTCTCTTCCCATTCCTACAAGAGCTGAAGGATGCACATTAGAGTAAGGAAATTGGGTTATACAACTTTGCAGGTAAGGGACTGATAACATTCCCACTTTATGGACATGTGAACAGACAGGTGTCTGTCTGTCTAGGACATGAAAAAAGGTGCCTGCAGGCACACCCACAAAGAACTCCACAGTGCCTGGAGCCAAGAGAGTACAAGAGCAAGATGACTCTGGGCTGCAAACAGTAAAAGTCCAATGCATTGGGCTGAGAACTGGAGGCCTCAGAACTTGTGGAACTGCAGCACTGCTTTTCTGTACAGACAAAAAGCATCTTAAATAAAAATCACTACATTACAGAAGAGCATTCTGATGAAGGCAGGGTAGGAAGAAAGGTCTGAAGTACCTTAAACATGCTCATCAGAAAAGCACAGGAAAGATCTGCCTTCCTATTTGTATTTTATTTGGTTTATAATCTATAATTAACTCTCCTCCAACTTCATCACATATCTTAGCTATTTGTTTTGGAAAGGCAGAGTTTGCTTACCCCAGCAATAGACTTTGATCCCAGAACTTGTCCTACCCATGTAAAGACTTATGTCACAGATCACATCAGTTTAATAGGTTTTCAACACCACAGGGCCAAATAAGCGAAACACAAATTGTGAAGAGGCTCTGCACTTATTCCAGCAATTTAGAACATATTGGTAGGAAAATAAAAATAAAATACTGCCAATGTTCCTGATTCTCCTTGTGAAAGAGCCCATAAGAGTCTAATCTTTTCCCACACCCCATAGTATACAGCACCCCCAACAAAACAAAGAGGCTTCCATTGGCACATTTCTTTTCAGATTTAAAAAGTATCCAAAACATCAGCCAAAAAACGACCTCTCTGACTTTGCTGAATCAAGGCAGACAACTGAGACAAACTTTTTTCCTATTTTGCTGTTCAAAATACATGTTCCCCTTTTATCCATCCTTGCAGAGAAGGGAGATTAAAACAGAGTCCTTTGTTTACTTACTCAAAGCATAGAAAATGTTAATATTTAATTCAAGTGTCAGTCTAGAAGCTGATACTAATTGAAGTTATGTCTCATGATGTAACAGAATTCCACTGGTGGGCTCTTCAGCAAGCAAAACATAGCAATGTTTTATGTACAAAATAAACCAGCTGCTGAAATATAATGTCCAAAGGCTGAATTCTCTCCATAACTAATCCAAGTGCCATCAAAATGCCAAGTAGCTGAGCAGGCCAATTTCATAATACAAACACACAAATTATGTACAGAAAACTGTACTCAAATTTAGCATTTTTGCCTGTCATTCAATCCAACAGGTTTTTCACAAAAATTCAGTTTCTTAAATTCAGAAATCTACTGAACATAATTCCATGCTCTCTGACTGACCTGAACAAACCCATCTGTGCAATCTCCTGAGAGTAATTAAGAGGATTGTCCAATTTGCTCTTTTCTTCTTCAACCTTGAACTATTCAAAATTTCTTATGCAAGATGTTCAGTTGTTAAACTTCTTGCCAGAAAAGCTTACAACGTGCATGGCTGTTGTGAGATACAGCAGAACCCTCACAGTTTATGTGCTGCCAACACCACTAATGGACACAGGACAGGACAGTGTCATGCTGTAGCTCTCCTATAGTCAGCTAAACCAACTTAAGGAAACTTAATCAACTTAAGGAAACTTCTACCTTCATTTAAAAAGATCATTTCCCAGCGTAAGTGTAAACAAGTGCCTGAAACCAACTGTTTTAGATACAGTATCTCAGTGAGGAACCTGCAGCTTTTCCTGAGGTAAGGAGATAAAAAGGAGCTCACCTAAGCCCAGCAGAGATCTCCCAAGACCAACCATCCCAGAGCCCAAAAAGAGGAAAAGCAAAACACTTTCTAGTTTGCTGAGCCAACTGTCAAGGCTCCCTGCACCCAGGGTAAGAGGCCCATGAGGCAGAAGCTGCTCTTCTGCAGCCACCAAGAGACAAAGCTGAGACTGTCCCTGGCCCAAGTGCCACACACTGGCCCTAGCCTAAAGCTCCCAACAGATTTGCTTTCCAAACACACTGCATGGAGCAGCACCTCACCTCTCACCCACTTGGCTTCAGCTACACTGAAGGGGTAAGAGTCCCAGTGCAAGAAAACAGGCTGCATCTAAAAGGTGGACACTACACTTCACATCTACAGTCCTTGATCAAATACCTTTACAATTGACTAAAGTATGCAAAACTTATGCATGAAAGAAAAGCACTCTACAAGGTGGGTTTGTGGCTTTTTTTTTTTTTCTCAATTCATTTAAACAATTTAAAAGCTGTCATCTGGAAACTTGACTGAGCCAAGCTAAGTTATACCAATTCAAATTGCCATGAACATAAACAGACAGTAAGGACATAAACATAAACAGTAGTCTTACTGCCTTGTATTCTGTCAGAACAGAATACAGAAGAACAAAAATCCAGTCTCAGTTTAAGGCATTCACACTAACAATACTGAATAATGAATACAAAACATTGTGGCTTTCCCCTGCTATAGGTGGTTATGATGTATTTTCAGTCATACCAGAGAGAACTAGGTAGAGCTGTAGCTTTTATACTGTAAGATACTAAAACATTCACTTTTATGAGTAATGTTTACTTACATTCAGTTCAAACACAATTTCTGAATCTAAGTTGCCTGGGTTTCCCTTAAAACACTCTGCTTTATCCCTTCCCCCTCCCCTTAAAATTAGGATTATCAAACATAAGGACCTTGCCAAAATTTAGGTTGACTGAATAAAGAATTCTTAACATTCAAGAACAGTGATGAAGAATATAAACAGAATTAGTGCTGCAAGAACATAAATTAGTCAATATATTAAACCTATAAATGCCAGGCATGAAACACAGGTCATTAAATGCCACCAGCAGAGTCCTAAATTAATAAAGTTACTGACACCAATAACAATTAAAGAGTAGGAAAACACTGCTTCTGAGTCTAGGTACAAGATGACCCAAGAAGCTGCTGCAGAGAGCTTCAGACAGGCTCTTGGTGGATTCTTGCAAGTTTGTAAGCATTGGGAACTAAAACCAGCTGTTTCACTAATAGATTAATGAAAACATTTGGTTCTCTTTGACTTCCAATTTTGTATTTGTTTTCAGCACTGAGAACAAAAAAACAAGAAAAAGGCAAAAATAGTCCACAGTAACTGTGCATTTTTAATATGCATCACCTTTATACAAGTTTGCATAAGACCATGAACAGGCAGACAGCTTCACATTGAATTTGAAAAGGTTAAGCTTGGAAAGACAGAGGGAAGGCACGACAGAAGGAAGAAACCCAAAAACTAAATATATCTACTAGGACAGCTTGAAAAGCAACTCTTGGCAAGGGAAAAGAAAAGCATGCATTCCTACAGAGCTCCTAAACAAATTCCTTTAGGTACTGGCATTTAGCTAAAACATGATCTTGCATGAGTTGAAAATTTATCTGTATTAGCACAGCACAACACTCATTTTCCTCATTTAGTCATCTGCAGCCTTTTATGCACTTCAGTTTGACATTTATTTATTTATTTCATTTTTTCTTTAAAGCCACAAAGCCAAGACCATATCTACCTTCATTCTGTGTAACAAGCAGAGAGCAATTTTCAATAGTGAATACATCATTACTGTTCTAATAATAATAAGCAAAAATATAGCCCTATGTCATAAAGTATATTATTTGGAATAGTTTGCCTCTACCAACATGAAAAATTAGATTTATGTTCCTCCAATAGAATAAAGAATTTGAAATTCACTTCTTATCAATATTTGAAGTCATAAGGTTCAAAGTACTCCTAAATATTGCAAAAATTATGACTTAATACTCTTGCATGCCTCTGATTGAATATTAGTGTCCAAAGCTCCATATTGCAAAAATATGAGCAGCTGGCAGCTGAGTACACTTCTCACCAACTTGCAATCCTTTTGGACTCTATATCCCTATATCTTGAGAGAATTGGGATTGTTCAGCCTGAAGAAGAGAAGGCTTCAGGGTGACCTAAACTGTGGCTTTCCAATACCTGAAGTGAGCCTAGAGGAAAGATGGAGAGAGACTATCCTGGAGTGAGGACAAAAAGGGAATGGATTCACACTCACAGAGCAGGTTTAGATCAGATATTAGGAAGACATTCTTTGCTGTGAAGATGATGATGCACTGGCACAGGTCCCATTCCTGGAAGTGTTCAGGGCCTGGTGGGATGGGGCTCTGAGCAACCTGGTCTAGTGGAAGGTGTCCCTGCCCATGGCAGGGGGTTAGAAACAGATAATCTTTAAGATCCCCTCCAACCCAGGCCATTCTTTGGTTCTAATTTGGGAGAATCACTTCCTTCCCCTCTTTAAGGCTTTCCAGACTTTTCCTATTTATTGATTATTTTTCCTTTTTTGGTTCATATTCTTCAAAGTACTTTCTCAAAGTCCATAAAGTGCTGCTTGTTGCAACTGCACCAATTACTCTGCTGGGCACAGCGCTCCCTTCTACCCTGCTCCTCCTTATAACTTTGGGGTTGTCTCCCACTCCACCTGTTTGTGTCTTATTCCTGTTAGGTGGTAAATCCTGT